GTAAAATAAATTTACAAATGAACATTTCTTACTTTATGCATTTCCTATGAACGATTATTAAATATATATATATATATCCTGTATAACTTACTTTAAAAAGTTAGTAGTTTTCTTCAAAACGTTTAGTATTTTTATGATAGTATTGCATGTATCGATTATTGCTGACGCGTAGTCCCACAAGGAAAATTCGATAACGGTGAGGCGTATAGGTACATTATACCTACCTATCTAATAACAGAATTACACTAACAGCACTCATATGATGAAAACGAAAAATACAATACTAAATATTGAATTTAGATATTTATTAGAAACCATAATTTTCTAATGAAATTTAGACAGTACACCGATATATCGGATAATTCTAGCAACCTAATTTGTTCTAACTCTATTTCAAATAAGAGTAGAAAGTTCATAAAAATATTGTGCATAGCTTAACAACCTTCATTATCTTGTCAAACAAATGTCACAAATGCAACTATGCATATTTAAAAAAAAATACATACAGTTATTTTTATAGAGATTCATTCCTAAGGTGCAATCATTCCTATGGTCGTATAAAGAATGTAACATATAATTATTAAAAACTCGACGTAATTTCTAATGCTGAATCATCACGATATTCGTGTCATCAATATGTTATAAACGTATCTCAAAAGATTAGGCGGTAACTTAAAAGAATTTGGTTTATTCTGACAGACATAAGTATTAGGAATGTTAGTTAATGAAAAATTACACAAACCTGGAAAGTTGAGAAATTATTAAAATTTGTAGAACTTATTAGTCATGTGAAATTTTAGGCTATAAACCCCTGTATTCGATATCATAAAATTAACGTTCTTTCGTATATTTCCATATTCGTTACGTTTCTCGTTCACCGGTTGTATATGCTGCGAATAATATTATGATTCGCATCCTGAAAATTTCTCATTTCATCGCAAATTTTTCGACAGACTTTAAGTCAGGAAATTACTAGAAGACCAAGATATCATTATTAATTTATTATATATCTGTAATATTTGCAAATAATTTCAACAAATTTTTATCATGAGTTTTAGATCGCAATTTTACACGAATATAAAAATCTCAACGATTAATCGTTTTCTCGACTATCTAGAATAATTATCACGTTTCGTGTGGAACCAACGGATATCGTAATACTTTTGAATCGTAGTGCATGTCGATTTCGTTATTTCAGTATAAAAAAAAAACGATAAATGAAAGCTGGATTTTTCAATCTTCCGCCCTGAGCTTATTGCGAGTAAGTGTCTTCTCGGCATGCGGTGAAATAGAAATTAAAAAGAACCAAAGAGATTCGTTTAAAGAGATACGAAAGGTGTAGTAGGTGTGATATTTTGAACCAAATTCAGGACTTAAGTTAAGCTCGCGATAAAAGCTACTTTAAATAAGGCGTTCTACATATGATAATCGTGCAGATGGGTATATCGATATAGTAGTGGGGTAGGGTTGGGGTTGTGCTGGCATGGAACATATTCTATCAGTTTGATAGCTCTCGGTGGGACACTCGATGGCGGATGAAAGCTAAGGCGGATGCCTTGATATCTAATATCGGCTGTGCACCTTTATGTCGTCGGTATCGGTTTATGTTGCCCCGGGTAATCTTCACCTTTCCACACCAGACTTAAACTTTTCACGTAAGTGCAGCGCTGACTGGTAAATAAAAGTGTGAAAAGTTGCCATCGAGAAAACGCCATGAACTCTTGGGAGTACATAGTTTGTTGCGTTTGTATTCTTTTTCTCACTGTATATTATTTTATGGATGTGTTCCATGACGCGAGGCCAACAATCAATACCATTAAATATTTTCATACAATTTCATGTCTCATATACTCTCCCCCTTACTTAATTAACTATTAGTGTATTTTACTAATTTCCAATCTTTGTGGATCTTATGCAGTATATTATTCTCTATTTCACTTCTTGATCTATTTTCACTATATGTTTATTACTACATTTTTATATTTACTATATTTTACTACATTAATCTATTCTTAATTAGCATTTTTTCAAGCATCGAAAAGAAACGATAATGATATTAATATTAATATCGGTTAGAAAGTCATACTATAATACATTCGTACTATACATGTATATTATTGTGGTATAAATATTAGTAAAAATTTATTTCATGTTCATGAGATTTCTTCGTGGAAGAAATTCAAATTATTAGCTGAAAGGAATGCGAAGAAAATAAAAGAAAATTGTAAGGTAAAAGTAACGAAGATAAAAGAGGTAAGAAGTTGAAGGTATAATTCAGACTAGTTGTCGCGCGAACGAGATGTATCTGGATGTTGAAAAGATAGGTAGTCGCATGGCGAATAATTCCCACGTGCAGTTTAAGGGCTACCTGAGATGACAGGCTAGGGAGAAGCTACAGCAGCTATTTAACATTCCGCCTCATTTCCTGCCGCCTCTACAGCACCGCCTCCTCCTTCTCCTCTTCCCTCTCCAGATCCCGTCCTTCTCCTATTTCTCCTTCTTCGTTCCGGAGGAAACGTTCGCGCTCGATGCGAAAATTGCTTCGCCAAGAATTATTGACTATAAATTACTCGTCTCGCTACCCTAACCTCTTGGTTCCACCGTTACTCATGCAAATGACGGCGAAGCCCGCGGGCCCGTTTGGTGCACACGTTCGCGTTCGTTCCAATACTCACCACTTACTCAGTGTTATGCCGATCCGACGAGTAAACGGAAAACTACCTTGGCAAGCTAACTCTCGATATTGGCCGCGAATTGGCACGCATTTACATTTTATTACGCGTACTCAAGACAGACTGCCGTTTCTCTCGGGCTCTTTATTCGTTTCTTCCCTTCGATCGTTCGCTAGCATCCTTTCACCACCATCCACTACCTTTCGATTGTCATTGCGATCGCGATTGCAAAGATTCTTCTTGTTCCACGAGACATCGCACAAATACCTCAACTCTCGGATATTGCTGTTTAAAGGTTACCGTAAAACGACACCGATCAATTACCAACACAAGTTAACGAATAAGCAAGTAAACGATCACTCTCTTATTTCGTAGCAGTACTTTAGTTCCTTTCTTTCTTTCTTTCTTCCTTTTCCTTTCTTTGTCTTTTACTTTCTTACAGATTTATTTTAAAGTGATATTGGTACGGCGTATACACGATTTTGATACATTCGATATCCCGCACTACCTTAAGAGAAGGAGGCACAGATAGAAAAAGGCGAGAAAGAGAAAAGGGAAGAGAAGGGTCGGGAGAAAGAGGGAAGGGAAGAGAAGGGAAAAGAATGCGGTATACTGACGCTAAATTGAATTTTTTTCAATTCATTCCACTTCCCACAAGCGAGCTCAAACTCGATGAGTATCTGTACGCGACAGCGGCACCTATTCGCAGTAAATTCTCATTATTTTTAAATTGGAAATGAGAAGTGTACGCGGCGGGTGTGGTTGAGAGCACCTTTGCCGCTGCAGAGTAAAAAAGACAAGAACTCGGCAGTGTATTATTCCAGGCCGATGCCTATCCTAACAGCGGAAGAGTCGCAGAAACTAATTTAATTACCTGGCTGGTGTCAATAACAGTAATCGTTCTCTGTTCGAACCTCAATTTCCAAGGATCTGATTAAATATCGTCCGCCTAATTTTCCATAATCTGCATTTTTAATAACCATACCTTTCAATGTAAGTTATCTTGCGATTTCGTATACCTGCACATCGTATATGCGAGTCAGATAAATATTTTCGATACGTTGATCGAACTTTGGGAACTCGAATTAAAAGAGGAAAGCTAATCTACGAGTTATGGAGGTTTTGTCTATTAACTTTTTCGAGCATGGGAATTTTAACAAACCAAAACGACTTGAAGGGCTTTGTGAAAGAGAAATTATGTGATTAATATTTTTCGGACCGTATCGAAAAAAGACAGATTCAACTTTTAGTGGTTGATTGTTTATCCGCAAAAATAAATTTTTGTTATTGTCGGTAACGATTATCCGATAGTGGTCAGGAGTATAGAAGCGTTGATATTGTTTATCAATAGTCAAAAAAGTTATTCGAAATCATCGTTTAAACCAAGCAACCAATTCGTTATACTGCAACTTTAAATTTGTTTATGATCTTTGCTTATCTTTTCCTAACACAAAATTGCAAATCTCGGTCGAAAATTCCTGTCAATTTCTAAAACAATTCGATCTCGTAAAGTTTAAAACTCACTGCATTCGGTAAGGGTCAAAAATAGCAGTTATTTCTAAAATTTTTCTCGGGGAAGTCATTGAGACAAAGATGAAGAAAGAAAAAAAAATAAAATAATTAAAGAATCTTAATATTTTAGCGTTCTGATTACTAATAACCACTATAAATAAATGATCAAAATCTTTTTGAATACCAATAACCGATGAAGGAATTTCTTTTAGTCGCTTTCGATTATCGTCAATTTTGATTAACATTACGGATAATCAATAGTTAGAAGAAAAGCAGCAAAATTTGACCACACTGTAGAAGCACAATGTGTTTGATATCTCGCAGAAAACTTTACAAGAATGCTTACTTTAACTTCTGAGAGGTTTAATTGTAACTTACGAGATTAATGTTTCCGGGTTTTCTCTGTTACTTTCAGATAAAATATATTTTCCAAGCAAATAAAACCAAAGCAAAATAAATGCAAGAACTGTTATGAAGAAGTATGATCTATTTGTATATACATATATCTAGCTTGTTATTTTTTCGCGTTATTTGTCTAAACATATAACTAGTCCGGTAGCGTATTGAACATTTTGATTTAAAACTCGAGTATCTTCGTATGATTTAGGGTAGATTTTAAGGATTTTATATTTAGGGTAGGTAGGGTACAATTTTACTTGTAATCTATAAAATTTAGCTATGAACCATGGTAAAAGATAAGAATACAATTTCTTATCAAACGAATAAAAGTAAAGGCATGTGTGTGTGCATGAAGTTAATAAACGATAAGGTTTTTATAAAGAATTATTGTATTTATTAAAAGACACGAATCCTTAATTTGGTTCAAACTCATTTATTAATCGGAGCCAAGATACAGTCTGTCCTTGAGGCAGTACTTTTACAATAACATGGTATTATATTTCTTGAAAAATAAGAATTGTACTAGATTAGTAATAGTATAAATCGAGAGTATTAGATATTTCGCTGCATCTAAGGACAAAATTTCATGTACAATATTAGATTTACAGATTCAGGCCACAGCGTTGAAATAGGTTAGACAGAATAGCCGATGAACATTCGATACAAAGAGTGTAGCGAGTAGGAGAGGTAGCTACCGGTCGTTCGAACATATCCAAACAGAACGAATAAATATCTATGTATGTATATGTAATGTACGTTACAAGATGATCGGGCTTACTTTCTTGTGAAAATCAAGTTCCTCAAATAGCTGAAACATTGGATCGATTTCTAAAATTAAGTACAGATATCTGCGAAACAATGTTCCTTTCATCGAAAAGGGGAACAATCATTTTGTATCGCGAGTTGGATCTTAAACTTAATCGAGCAATAAAAAAAGTTAACTAGCCTTGCAATTGTGTTTGTGTATGAAAATAATTTGACCGATGAAGTATATGTATAGTAAATTGTATTTTCTGGTTAATCTATTGTTTGAGAAGCGGAACGAAATATTATAGATAAAGGTTAAATAGAACTTCCAATTAATAATTATCTTTACTCGTTTGTTATATTTTTCTTTGTTCTAATTTTAAATACTCCCCTTATTACAATAAATTATTTTCAAACACATCTCAACCTGTTTGATATGATAAATAATTCAGAATCACCTAAACAATAGTCTTTATACAACAAGTGTTAGAATATGTTATATTATCAAACACTTAAGTAATAATGTATCTTCTGTTTCTTGTTTGCAACTATTATACATTTAACTACTATTCTATTGTTAGAGCAGTAAACAACTTTTCGTCACTTTCACAAAAGATCCGAGAAGGATATTTTTTTTATCCGCATAATACACTATTGGTTTCTCTTCTTTCTCTCTTATAGGATATCAACACACTTGTTAGCTTTGTTTATGTTAATATATCACCATACGATAGCGATTACTTTTTTCTTTTTATATTTTTAGAAGATCTGTGGTGTATCGAGTTGTTTGACTTCGAATACTACCGATACTAAGACAATAAGAGCTGCCGCGAAAAAAGATATCAGTTAATAAGTTAAATAAATTAAAGTAGATTAATTCTCGGTTCTCTTGTGTACGTTATACTTGTATATATGTATATCACAATCCCAAAATTCGAGAAACTTTTTGTATGGGTGTTACAACGATATTTTCGAACAAGTCCACCCTGTTTTGTCGTGGACCACAACAGTAGTAATCACTCGATAACAGATACATCTCGTGACAAAAGGTATTATGGCGGTTAAAAGTTTACCAGTAAACCTCTGCTTGCGTATATTGTCCGAGGAAAATTATATCAAGAAAATGTTGACTTAACTCGAAGAAATTGCGATCTAATTAATTCTCTGCAAGACACATTATAATATAGTTTTATGCAGGTGATTAGTACCATTAACATCAACTATACAATTATTGCTATGGAAGCAGTACGACGATTCAGAGCCTCGATAAATTCAAATGAACTTATACATACATACATACATACATACATACATACAGCTCGTACGTACGTATATGTATATTATATATTGTCTTTAAGTAATCTAATCTACGTATAATTTTTAAAATTACAGTAGCTCTCTTTCGTTCTCGTCGTTATATACCATAAATTCAATTGAATTCATCATTCACGCTGAAATAGCGTAACTTACAACACGTTATTATACAAACAGCTCTTTGTTTTAACGTATAATACTTTTCCTACTGCATTTGTTCCTTTATGTACATAGCATATCTAGCGATAACTACAATTATAATAACAACTAATATACAACTTATCAACGATGCGACGACACAACAGGTCTATTATAGACGAGAATAGTACGAGCCCGAATATCTGACATCGTGGATAAATTATATATTACACTGCATTCAACGTTTATTCAGTACGCTATTATCTCAATTAATTAATTATCTTTATTGTCAATACATTCGGAACAACGTCGCTGCACCTTCAACAACAGGGTCTTGTTCAAACTTTCTGATTTGGATTTTTAGCGTTGATGAGTTGTTCGTGCATCTGCTTTGGTTGTTTTCTTTTAAATATGCATATGTATATAAGTACATATGTAGGTATAGTTAGTCACAAAAGCATCCGACCATGTTACGTATATGATATACTTTGAATAAAATTACATATTAGTAAAGAAAAGAAAATAATTCAGAGTCTACTTTCAGCAAATATTTATTAGTTTATTTCATAGTAATGGACTAATTGTTTGAAAATAAAATAAAAAAATATATATATACTAAACAATTATATTTAAAAAATTAAATATCAGATATGTATTCCGATGGGCAGATATTTTTGTGACATACATATATATTTTTTGCAAAGGAGTTTTGTTTTGCAAAGTTTTGTTTTGTTTGCGAAGGAGGAACAAACAAAGACAAGGTACCGGTTCACGGGAACGATTTAATGTTACAGGACGTCCGAATGGATTAACGGGACCGATCGGTTAAAAGGCGAATTATTACATAATTATATGTATTGACTCGCACGTAGTTGAATCAGTTTCCTATATTTGTCTAAATACTTATTTTTTTATATCTTATATAACCTATATGAACTAACAATTTGTTTAATTTTAATAGTGGCCACCTCACTTTTCCTGGGTTTTACTATTTGGTTCACATGTTTCGTGCATATCATTCATTTGTCGCGTTATACGTTATGTGTATGTGTATGTATATAGAGGTTATTACACATGTTCGAAATCGCGCATATATATATATATATATATTTATATATATATATATTTAATCTTACTTGTGTTTATACGTGTATATACGACGTTTTTTTATATTCTTTGCTGAAAGATGTGCGTGTGTATTACCTGCTTGTAAAAGTATCTCATATATGTTTCCTTTACTCTTATCCCGCTCTCTTTCTCTCATCCTCTCTCGCTTTCTTTCTCGCCTCGTCTTTGAAACAGACACGCGCACACTCACGCATTCAAGACGCGTCGACACGCTTGAGTCAACTACACACACATACATATTCGAATACAGCTCTCACTCTTTATCATGTAACATGTTTCCTGTGTGTGCGTGTAAAGTTCGCAATTACTTAATTGTCGAGTTTTAGTTACGTTCTCCTATTTGGTACGACAGAACTTATAGGTGAAATGTGAACGCTAAATTACAGTATAATTGTACGCTATTCCATATTTGGATAGAACTCGGACGACGTTCTCATAGCTGATACCATTTCTTGTCTTTGTACTTGAGCATCAATCCGTGAGCAGATTGCGAGAAACCCTCAGCTTCGGACATCATGCGTCCTGTTCGCTCCTCCAATTGTGACAACTTCTCACCTCGCTCGAGAACCATTTGATGAGCCACGTTTACTTCTCCCGTCGCTGTTGTCACACGTTCTCGCATATTTTCCGTTGCTGCGTTCGGTCCTGGTATATGTTTTGCAACCGTACGGGAAGCTCGACCGCTTGATTCACCAACTGAAAATAACATTAATTCTGCTATTTAATTTATTGAATACCGGAGTAAAATACAATATACTTTTGTACATTTAGATTCTCTGGTACGTTATCGTCTTAATATAATGCATAAATATGAAATATTCTTTTTTCAAACAATATTTCTATCATATACTACATTTAATCTTATCTTATCTTCTTAAAGATCTTTTTAAATCTTACTAAAATTATATTTAATCAAAATATGATTCATGCTATTACATACACTTCCCTAAGAAATAATTATTTTCGTTATTTCTGATTTATAAAGATCACCAGTAACAAAAGTCAAAAATTCTTCGCCTAAACCATGCTTTTATAGTTTTTCATTCCAAAGCAATTTGTTCGTTCGCTTGTATACAGTAATATCTTAAATGATTGGAAAGATAGTAATATCATGATAGACAGAATGTAATACCCAATCTGATCTAATCAGATCTTGCGATTGATGTAGAATAAACAAAATGAATTTCAATCTCGCTAAATGCTATGTAATGAGGTAATTCCGTAACAGTCGTTCTATAATCTTTGAATATGAGCTTAATGGTCATGAATTAGCAACTAGTGCAATTAACGGCCTTGGTATCTGCATTGCACCTACATTAAGCTGAAAGCATTGCCATAAAATTGTGTGCACTGCTCTTAAATCGTTAAATTCTATTGCTCGTTCTCCTACCAATTTTAAAGACATTTTCATTATTAACGTATTATATTTTCCGGTAATTAGATCTCAATTAGAGTATGTTGTAATTATTTCCTTTTCTCGATTCTTAACATAAAACCTGACCATTGAGACAGTTGGACATACATTCCTTATCTATATAGCTTTTCATTTGAACAAAACTATGTTGTGTAACGATCGCAATTATGAACCATAGCTAAATACGCTTAATATGACCTCTTTGGCTGAATGTAGAATTGTCAATGATCTTTCGTTTTTATTTAAAATTGTAAGTAGTCAAGTCTCATCTTCTCAATTATTACAACTCATTTATTCGTACACTTGTTCAAAAACTTCTACAATAGAATTACACATTTAATTACGCTATCGTAAAATCTAAATATGGTTCAAGTGATTCAATTAATCGAACACTAAAATTAGCCAATACATTTACGGATAAGATGCATTGTTCCTGTAGCTCTGTTCATTGTTTCAAGTAATCTTTATACGTAGCGTTGTTTTCACATTGTTTAGATTGCGTTTTTAGTTGTAGAATTTTTGTAATTGCAGTACGTGTATTTAATTTTATACCGCTTATTATGTAGCTCATTATGTTACTGTTCTTTTACTTCTGCTCTTCTTTCTGTATTTTCTAGTTTTGTTTATTTCTTATCTTATACATAATTGCCTGTACATATTGGATTCATACTCATTCTATTAACAAATAAATAAATAAGTAACAAATAACAAAGTTAAACTTACATAGCTCTTCTCTATCAAGGCTTCGTGATCCTCCGCCGAAGAGGCCTTTGAAGAAACTTTCTTTAGGTGGTTCAGGCATATCGTGACCGGTAAACAAGTCTCCCATCATTTCAGTTAATTCACCACTGAAAACAATACATTTAAAATGGTTAAAAGATTCCAATTCAATTCAAGAATTCAACTGTTTTTAAAATTATTCCTACACGTATGTCACATAGCAAAAATACCTACATACAAAATTTTATTCTTATATTTAACTTTTCTCTTTAACACAATTTTCACTACAAATATTTTTGAGTTATGAGTTCCAAACTGAGGTGAAACAGGTGAAAAAGGTAACTAAAGATTATATCAAATATCGTTATATTTGTATTGTATCATATAAAAGAAACGATTAGATAAATGAAATTGTTTATAAATAACTGTAAAATACATATGTATTGTGGAATTAAAGCGATCCTTATTTGCCCTTCTAAATCATCGTTTTAATGTTTACAAAAAGATACATTTAAAGATTAAAAAAGTCTGAAATGAATAATTTTTATTATTATAGTATTTAGAAAAGCAGTTTAAAAATACGTCTCACGGAACAGATATAAATATATAATAAATATGCACGTACAGTAGTTCTAAAGCATGAAAGTTTTTTCTATAAATAACTGAAATGAAAACAAAATTAAAAATGGATATCTGCAAGTCCTTTTCTAAATCTAATTATACAATCTTTTAACAAATTAATTTTCTAATACACAAAGGAAAAACAGAAATTCTATTAAATGACAAATCAAAATAAAAACACGATGAAAATGTTTTTACTGCATATGTATCATCAACATTGATTGCATGGAAAATGATGGAATACTGAAATCAAATTAATATATTTAGAAGCGAAGAATATTATTTCTTGACAAGATACGAATTAACAGACGAATTTGAAAACACCAATTCTAGATTTAACAACCTCATACCATAACATTAATTAAATACGAAGGAAGGAAATAATGAGGAATATAAATTTTCAACAGGAATAATAAAATTCGAATTTTTAACTTCCCTATTAAATTCGTTGAGATATTACGATAAAAGTGAATCATACCAAAATTGACTGGATACAGAAAACTTTTGGATCTCAGTGGGCGACGAGAGATATAAGCCATGGCCCCTATTGCTGAAGCAAAGTGTCTTTGCAATTCTGTAAAAAAGATATACAATAATTAGTGTGATATCTGTTGGTTTCATAAAGTTTATACGAAATATGTAGATGTACTGTGATGATAATATCGAAATTGAAAAAATGTGTGCTTACGTATATATTTAATAAGCTTTATCATATAACGAAAATACTAATAAAAATCGAAACAGCCGTCCGAACGACGTTTACCATGAGGTAAAGAAGTATAGGGATTGAGATGATTTATCGGAAAGAAATAAAATATATATGTATAGCACGCAAGGCATTGTATGTTGTATAAAATACATATTGTGAAAAGTGTATTTTATAGATCACTTACTGATCGGTATCGCCATTAACAAAGAGTTGATGACCCCATATGGACAACATGGGGTCTACAATGCCATGTTTTGTAGTCTGAAAACTGTTAGAGATTACAGAGACAGGAGAAAAGTGAGCGTTAAGCCATACACGAGTAAAAAGAGATTTTTAGTTCGCATAATTAGCATTAACCCTTAAAACATTGGATCTTTTTATCTTCAAGATATTTCCAACAAATGTATTCCACTTGAATACACGATCGCTGTTTTTTTAATATGTAAAGAGGATGATGTAAGAAGAATGATAGGTAAAAGAATAATAACATAAATCGTTGTTTACAAAACTTGTTGCTGTCTAATAATCTTTTTTAATTTAGTATAAACTATAGTATTAAATAGAGTGAATTTTGTGACAATACTCATATTCTGATTAGTAAGAACATGAATTCAGACTTTACATAATACATGTACAATGTAGATATTAACTTGTACATTGGAAACATGCCACAATCAAGTTCTCGAAATATCTCTAATTTTGAACATCAAATAAATATTATTAATTAAACAGGAGTGTTGAAACTTGCACAATAATGTATTTAAAATTTTAAACCATTATATATTGAATATCATTAGATAATTTAACCCTCAATTGGTATCGTTAGTTCAGAAGTGATTTAATGATTAAAAAAACAATAGGCCATTTCATTCAAGAAAATGTTATTATTAGCAAAATTTCAGAAGCTGTGACTCTCAGACGACCTTCATTCTCGTAGTCTAATTTCCCTCCTGAGACGAAGTAACTTTCTCTCGAAAGATTATTTTCTATCAATTTTCAAATAAGAAAATAATTGAGAGTGGCAGAGTTAAGTGGGACATCCTGTGTATTCAAAGTACTTTTCAGGAAAAACATTAAACAAACAATGAGTGTGCCCTAGTCTTACCTCCGAGTTATGGTCAAACTATGTATTCTTCGTCTTTTGCATTTCAAAGCGGATTTCATTTGTTACAAAATATCAATGCAAAATTAACTTGACCATCAATCTACCACTATTCATGATATGTGGAATAGATCGTATAATTGTCTAGTTTTTATCGATCATAGCTTTTGAATATATTTCTTCCTGATATTCAAAGGAAATATTAAAAGTATTTCATTCGTGATAATTACATAGACAACAAATATTAATAATAGGTTTTACAGTTACACCAGAAATACATATAACGATTAAATAAAATTTAGGAGTGACAAAACCCTGTTAAACCTAAAAATGTTACTGAAACGATAAGTTGAACAAAAAAAAAAAAAAAATAAACTGGATGTTTTCAACAAAATAAATAATTATGTAAATTTCATAGTTTAAATTCTAGAGTTTTGTAGTCTAATATGTATAAGACCGTAGGGATAAGAACTTGCACAGTTTTTACTTTATGTAATAAGAAGTAAAGAACGAGTACATATTTTATATGAATTTGTAGAGAGAAAAAAATATTCGACCGATCCAATTTGCTGGACTCGATCTCGGATTCGATTCCGGATCGCGCTAGCCGGGCAAGTGTTTTCCCAATTAAACTATACAAACTGTCGGTAAATATTTTTCCCTTAATTTTTAAGTCTTAAATTAGGCTGTTGCCTACAAATATTTATTCTAAATTCTACCAGGGATACTTCTATATTCTAAATGGTACACTTAGAAATATTTTGTATATCAAGACCAAAATTTGACATTATCAAATATTAATATCTTTAAAAGAGCATCAAAATGAACCATACGATATGTATACATATGTATATACATTATTTTACATCTTATATTAACATAGTGTACAAGATAAAGTATAATTTTGTTTCAAAAATAACACCCCTTGAAAAAATAAAAAATATTCGTTTAACGAAATAAACAGTACCTATACACTATATTTCACACAATTGAAACAAGCTGTAACTCTAAAACGGTAAAAGATAGAAAAAGATTTCATCGGACAAAATTAAACTTTGTTTAGTGTAAATATTTTTAAATCATCTTAATTTTCTCAAATAAAAATATAATAGGCTATGAACTTTTTTCTACACCAATTTATGTATATTGATCGTATTGTTTTTTTAATAATAATTTATATATAGTACAGACAGTTTTATACAAAAAAATAAAGGTTACACATATATTTATGTATAATGTATATACATGTACATCTAGAGAAATCTTTCATTCTTTTAACTGAGTAACAAAATACACTCAATGAGTAACTATAAACACATATACAAAATACTCGAAAATGATTTGTCACAATAACCATAGCGTTATTCTATACCTCTGGATTAATGAAAATCTCAAAAAAAAATCTTTTTGATTGCATCCAAAATCGGATATTCTAGTCATCATCAGTGTCAAAAGTCTCAAAGGAATTACAGATCGCAATTCAACCGATTTGGAAAAGATGTTGAAGTATCATTAGTTTTCAGACTCACTTTATTTGTAATGTACTTACATTTTGCAATTAGATACAGGGAAAATAACAAATATATTGAAAATAATGCCAATGAAAGACCGATTAAACTTTGACATCATTTTTCAAGAGAAGGGTCAGTTGCGATCCATGATTCCTTTCATAAGTTTGGTTCTCGTGACAACTACAGTACGATGCAGCTAAAAATTTTGTCCTTGAACTTCAAGATCAAGGTCAATCTTGCAGCTATTTTTGGCATACTTTTATTGATCCAAAGGTGTAAAATAACGCTACGATGCTCGTGACAAATCATTTTCGAACACCCTGTATCTACATCCAGGGACGAATTTATCTTAACGGCAATAATAATATAAGCGCCGGGCCCCGAAAGTGCTTGTCAAAAAGACTAATAAACGATTATCAGAATTACACAAAATACATTTGTTAGTATGCAAAGACTGGGAAATAAATTTTAGCTTAGCTGAAACGATGTCTACTGGATCAACACGTATAATCGTTCGAATATTCGAAACATTCAATGGGTCCATTCCAAAGTGTTTTGGAGAATTTTTACGTTCTATAGAATACATGAAAAATAATTGAATCCTCCAACGAGACTCGCTTGCCATAGGAATTTTAAACGCAGTTTTGGACTGCCATCGCATTGTGCGTATTTTAATTACTACGCATGAAGTTCACCGTCTAAATGAGTATCATATTCTGACAGATTAGCTAAAGAATCCCTAAAACGAAATATTAATTTCCTGATGGTTTAACGAACATCGATTTAGCCAGGCTAAATTATTTAAAATTTGGCTTAGTTCAGGGGCTCCAAAATGATTATTTTTAACTTCAAGCTCTCGAAGGTTTAAATCCCCCACTGCATAATCTAATGTTTAAAAAATACATATATATGTATAAGTATATATACACCATTCATTGTACACTGATAGTATACTAATATCAGAGAAGGAATGCGTAACGTCATTTGATAGCGTTGACGATTCAGTTTTACATTAATCTTCGGACCTAATCTATGGCAATTTACTACATGGTATAATATCACGTGGCAAGTCGTTGCATTTGCCTCAACAAACGCTATGATATTCTAATTAAAAAGATACGGGGTCCCATTTAAAAAAATTAACTTGACTTTATATACTAAGCATTTTTGAAGTAAAAACAATTTTTTGATAACTTAAATCCCTCGTGAGATATTCCACTGTTTCTGTTTAAACGGAACACCTTATATATCTTAAATGGAAATGTATGTTATACAGGGTGGTTGGTAACTAGTGGTACAAGCGGAAAGGGGGTGATTCTACGCGAAAAAAGAAGTCGAAAATATAGAATAAAAATTTTTCGTTTGAGGCTTTGTTTTCGAGAAAATCGACTTTGAATTTTCGCTCGGTACGCGTGCGGTACGTTATAACGGATCTCAATAGATCGTTGTCTCGATGGAAAAATTAAAAAAATTAAAAAGAAAATTTTTATTCTATATTTTCGACTTCTTTTTTCGCGTAGAATCACCCCCTTTCCGCTTGTACCACTAGTTACCAACCACCCTGTATAACATACATTTCCATTTAAGTGGAAACGATGAAATACTAATACTAGCACAGGATTAAAGTTATCAAAAAATTGTTATTACAAACGCTGTTTAATATATAGAGAGACATTAGGTGTTATAATTAGTGTAAATGGATATTATAAATAACTTTTTGTAAGTATATATATTTTATAGTATAATACATATGTATATTATATATATGTATAATTCAAATTGATATAACTCAATATAAATAAGTAATATATTTCATGTTGCGTACAACATTTTTGGATAATCATCAATTATATTAATAATCAGAATATGAATATTCATATTAACGGAAAAGAATATTTAAGAAAACAGAAAAGAACACTATCATAACAGAAAAGAAATATACTACGTAAGAAGAATATGAATTGAAGATGCAAATTTGCTATTATTTCAAAAGTAAATAGCTGCCAATTCAATAGAGTAAATAGTAGTAGTAGCATAGAACTGTTTATTGAATTAACTATATAGAAGATATTAAACAGTGCAAAAGAGGTGCTTATATAAAGAATACTACATGAAACATGCTATAAGTGTATTAAGGGTTAACGAATATACGTTAGATATAGTAAAGAAATTACATGCTATAAATATTAATATTGCTTATTATCATTTCACTAAATATACTTAATTAATTATTCTATACTTATATTGGTGTCAGATATCAAGTAATATCTATACAACATTCACTCAGCTACATAATACATGGTGCATAACGCTATGCAACGAAAGAATGTTTAAATTCGTATTTCAAAAATATAAAGAGATCGCGGAATTATTATTCATCGTATATATAAATGTATATATAGATAGATAATAGTAAACATAATTTAAGTATGCCCACTATAGCTTTCACAAATATTTATATCGGTATGTTGAAAAGTACATGAAATTTAAAAAAAGAAAGTAAAATTTAAAAAAATCTAGTAATATATCTGCATACATATGAATAAATCAATAAATTTTCAATTTTAAATTCATAAACAAATAAACTATATTGTACATATATATAATAAAACATATAATTCCATTCGAAATCAGTATATGCAATTAGTTACATGTTCCATACGTAATCAATTCAACGTAATCAAAAACTAATTAATAAACAAAGTTTTATATAAAAAAGTTTATATAACGTTAATAATAAACAAAATATGAGAAATTCGATTATTATATTTGAATTCAAGTCGAAGTTCCCCTTGTATTAAATGATTATTCTATTCATCAAAACTACAACAATGTTTTCTCAATAAACGATCAAAGGATGAAAATATTATAATATATACTTTAATATTTACAATTGTGTACGTTATAATAATATTAGATTGTTTCTTTTTAAACAGCTGGTAATGTCATGTTTTGGTGACTCATCGACGATTAATATTTCATTATATTTTGACTATTTTTTTAAAGCTCCCACTATTTAAAAATATAAACATTTAAACAATTAAGAAATTAGTAGTTAAAGCCGTTACACGTACAATAGTTATTTAGAATAATTATTTTTTTTACTATTACATACATATATTCCAAAAATAATCAATTAGAAGTATTAGCCAAGAAAATAATGTCATTAGTATGAAATGACTTTTATGCTACATTCGACGATGTACATATATAAAATGTTGCAGTCTTGCAATGTTGCAATAATGCAATAGCATATAGTGCATTATATACCATGTGCAGTTAGAATGATTATTTTGCTGCAAAGCTAATATAATGAAACAATTGTTATTCTTACCTCAAATCTATAAGCGGTAGAAAATCGACGTCTATAAGCGGCCTCAGACTTGGCAAACTATAAGTAGTTATGTGACCATTTGAAATGTAACATACAAGACAGACATTGTCTGAAACACACAGAAGATTTTGCTCTTTTATCTATATTAATTTAACTTGATTTTTACCAGATGAGTTGAATACTGACTTGCTATTTACTCAAAAATGTTGATGCTGACTGAATATAATTCAACCCAAACTATATGTATTACATAGCAATAAAGCAATTCATAATATCTCATATTACACATATCGAATTGTATTCCAACGATTACGTAAAAATGTTCGAAGTATGCTTGTTATACTACGATCTTACGATCTGCGACAACGGTGCACTACAGAAATATATGTAACTAGCATAAAATTCCTTTCTTATTGACCCACAATCTTAAACAGATACTAAAATTTGAAATTGTTGTGAATTCTCTTGATCGGATGATTAGAAGAAAAATTAAACGTAATTCTGGCATCTGCTTATCACACAACTTTCGGAATTTGAAGTGAAACGTTTGAAATGTGTACCAATATAAAAGCAGGAAAGGACAACATATTTTAAACGTAACTGTATATTGTACATCTATAATTATTATCAAATACTAATTAGTTAGTAATATACATATGTATACTTAATTCGAAAACTTAAGACTTTGTACAAATATGAAATAAATTGTTTACGAAAAAAAAGGATATTTACGATACATACCTTTCAAAGACGTAATCTCTGCTTTAATCACAATATGACTTTCAGCCAGTTGTTGTCTGTACTGACAATTTTGCGAGGGTAATGCTACAACCCTCGCTTGTTTTTCTGACGCTAATACAACGAATTGGCGGTCTTCGAAGCCCTCTCCTGTAGCTACTTGAGTGTTCATCGATGGAGAAGACGTTCGACTATTACATTTGCCTTGACTTCCTGTAACGATAAAAGGCGCATCGCGTCACTGGAAGAAAACCGTTTCTAAAAAAATATTTGTAAAAATATTTTTGCCAATGAAAATTCGAATTTACAGCAAATCTCACTACTAAATACATTATACAGGGTGTTACGGATAGTACAACCGAGTATAACTGGATTCCTTGTGAACAAATAAATCAAATATATAGAATAATGATTTTCCATTTGCGACTTCGTTGTCGACAAAATTAAATTTGAAAATTCCTTACGAACGCTAGCACTTTTCGCGTTTGCGACTTCGCCGTACTATAATGGTATAATTAACTTGTCCCTGTATTTAGCATACTGAGGACACTGCAATATCACTCAACTCTATTCTATTGGATTTTTTGTTGAGGTCTCATTAACGAATTTGTATATCTAAAAATTAAACAAATAATGAACCATTGCAAGAGAGGGTTATACAGCTATTTGAGCAAGTATAGACCAAAAATTCGTTGCCATCAGTTTATGCTTTCATGATTCGAGAAGCAACAATTTGTTTACGGCAAGATTTCGCTAAGACGTAGCGTTAATCTGTATCCTTCATAACATTAGCAAAATCCTAACGTATAATGTAATCGGTTAAGTTGCAAAAGCAACAATTGCATAGACGAAAAATTTTCAAATTTAATTTCCAAGACGAAGCAGCAGATAGAAAATCGTTGTTCTGTATTTTTGGTTTATTTTTTCATACAGAGTCCACCCATGTCAGCTTGTACCACCCATTTCGAAACATCCTGTATATTACAAATTACATTATTTTATAGAATTATACTATGTAGATAATGTCACTAATAATATAACAGTTGCAATATATATTAAAAAAACATATCATATGTATCATAACATACTATTGCGTTCTTTACTCTCCATACTGTCGTCTTTCCAGGACTCGTAAGAGTATGGAATCAGGGCACCATTACAATCTAAGAAGAACATTGATAGAATACATCCCTTTAACTTAAACGTAGATCCATCTATAAAAACAAATAGAATAATCATTACATTAGGTTATACCTTGTCTCATGCGCACAGACATACATAGAAAGGCCTAATACATTTCATGGAACACAATAACACTTACTGCAGGTAGAAACAACGACTGGATGAGCGTGTCGTTCTCCACGAGCAGGTGTATTAAATATCACCGTTTGTATAGATCCTAAGGATGTACCGATCCAAAGTGTTGGCACAGGACTGGTATCTTAAGAATAGAATAAAGCATATTAATAAGAGCATCGATTAAGAAGCAATTTCGTGTGAAAATGTCACATACCGCTCTTTTTCGTGTAGGAATCTGCGAATGTAAGGCAGCTGATGGTTTCTGTGGTGATATTCTCGAGCGACGACATGCTCGAGCTTCTTGATCGTTGAAACGAACTGTCATATTTGTCTACCCGACCAGCAATCCCGAGAATAAATGGAAAATTAAATACCGAACACGTAACATTGCCGTATAAATCATGACGAGCATGCAACATCTATCACAGTAAACATCTCTGACAAGTTAAGTTTTCTAACGTAAATTAACGAAAATCGGTAAGAGACTCGGTCAGAGTGTGAAAGAAAACTTAAACGTTTTGGATAGTGACACTAACATAATAACAAGAATAGCAATAATTACAACAACAACAATAATAATAATAATAACAGCGACAGCAACAACAACAACTATTATGACTAGTACCTCTCTTGATAGGACAGTTCACAAAGTAACATCTTTCATTCGTTTCAACATTCATCAAGTCGATCCGATGTATGTATATCTAGTATGTCGCAAAGTTCGTTAGAATGCCACGCAAAACGAAACGAACAGAAAATAAGGTAACATTGTAATTGTAATTAAGAGATCAGTCAATCTTAAGCGAATATGTTATTGGCACTATGTGCCGATTCATCATGCGCAAATTACGTGTAGCCAAATCAACGACGTATATCCCACTTTCATTCTGTTCCCTATTAATTATCGCGTTCAACAAAATGAAGTACTAGAACTTTATACTTAAGTGATGTAATTAACATAATACTTGAGTAATATATTTAAACGGTGTTAGTAATATTAATTTTCATATTTACCTAAAATCATTAGATAAATGGTAAAAGTATAAGGTCGATGAGATTCTGTAATAAGACGCGTACATTTGTAATAAGATTTCCAACTAGGGTGAACGTTAACAAACATTTTACGACATATATTATTCGTTAAAATCTTGCAAATTACAGATTGAATGGAACTTTAAGTTATATTTCCATTTTAAATGCAACTAAGGACCGGTTACCGTGTCAATCTCAATCGTCAAAATTTATTTTTATTTAAAAAAAATTATTTTTTATTTGCGTCCGACACAATTCTTGTTCGATTCATGAAAGGACATCTCGGTCGAAATAAATTGTTGCCTCTGCATAATATTCTAGTGTATGCGTTATTCAGTATTTGATCTTAATATCACCGAAATAAAACGAGTTGCATCGCTAAAACGTTTTCATGAAATTATAGCACGTTCGACACAATCCACACTCCCAAAGGCACTTGAAAGCTTGAACACAAAGAGTGACCTGGTTTTAAAAATTAAAACATGAACTTCAAATAACATATACAATTCACGCTCTAGATATAAGAAGAAACGAAATTTCAGTAGCAAGAATATGATTATGCACTAAAAAGGCATTCCGCGACATCCCTGCGAATTCTACGTTCCAAACGTACTCAGTATACATGTACGCGCGTTATATAGGTATGCACAAGATTTTAATAAAAGTTCAAGCTTTTCCAAACTCGATTTCTTACTCATCGGTATAATAAATAATTCGTTGTTTTTTTTTACTTACATTATGTCATTGAAATACAGCGGTAACTATATAGTCTGCATTGCTATGTAATTTGATACTTGTTTTCCTAAATTATAGCTTCATAGTTATAATTTATCATGTAACATTAAACATGTATATGATATAAATCCCATACTTGATATATTTTATATAGGTATATAAGACATGTATCAAGTGTACGAAAATTTTTAATTATCAGCTGTTTGCACAGATACCGTTCTCTTTATTTCGATGTAACTTTATACCATACTAATGCTAAAGAAACTATAACTATTTCATCTTTATCAACATCCTGTGCATTCGATATTTCATAAAGTGTACACTGAGCGGAAGAATTAACTCAATGTGTTATCATTAGGCAACATTTATTAGAAAAAAGCCAACTGAAAAATGAGGCAGATAGATGAAAATCGGAGAGAACGCGGAAGAGTATTTTTTTATCAGAGGTGCAGTGTGAGAATTAGAAATCACGCAAACTGGATGATGTGCCGTTTTGTGTTTTTAGAGAAAGTGGTTTGACCAAGAGTGAGTGAATAGACCGTTAGGAAAAAAAGACGTGATGCAGAGTAATAAAGTCTGCCGAAGTAATATATATCCACACTCAAATCAGCAAAGACCAGACAGTATTTATCAGACATAGCGAAAAAGAGATACGATAACGAAGACCAATCTTAAAAACAGCCATTTTTGAAAGTTACAAGTTAATTTATGACTATGATATTACTATAAATTCTGTATGTCGGTCGTCAAGGAAGAAGATAATATCGATTAATATAAGAGTAACGATAAAGAAAGGTATAAGAACATGTTTCAGGGTATACGTTTACGCTGTAATAAATATGTTTGAAATTATAACGTTATAAACTATAACACAGTATCGAAACGGTTTCATGAAATTTAAGATTTAAAGAGATTTAAATGAAAAAAAAATTGATCTAAGGAACTCCGGAATATTAGTTAGATTTGAACTAATTTTCATGAACTACTTATAGATTATTTTATGTTATTATATATTATTATACATATATCGTTGTATCGTTGTATCGTTTTCCCAGAATTACTCACAAAAATTAGTCACTTCTCGATTTTGAACAAATTCACCTTTGAAACAGTTTGTTTTTCTGTAACAATATGGAACAAATCTGTTCAAGAAATGCTGGTCTCCATTAATCGCATTGAACCTACCATAGAAGAATCGTTCTATTAACAACGAAATCAAAGGAACAACGAAACGAGGAAAAAAGCACTCAGAGAAGAATAGACTTATCTCATTCAGTAACATAGAAAACAATCGATGATCTACATAAGTAGTATAGCAATTGTACTTATTAAAATGATAATTCATTGAATAATACTACCGAAGCTGTTATACTGTCTGGTGTTGGAGAGAATATTCTGGTAGTTGAAAGAAGCTTGCGGAGTGGTCGACGAATAGCCTCGTATCTCGGTGTTACGGTGACTAGAGAGTAACGAAGTCGTTGGAAAGTTGTTCAACGACGAAGAGTCCAGCTCATAATGGTTGGTAGTGGTACTCAGACACTTCTGGAGCTTTCTTATACCCTGAGCACGAGACTGACGTGCTTCGATCGTAAGGGATTTGCGAGAATTCGCATTCGAGCCGGCGATATCGTCGTCGCCGCTATTTACGGTATTCTGAACACCCGACCGAGGGATGCAGACACCACTAGTACTAGGTCCTCCACTACTTTCGCTATTGCAACCACCGTCACCAGTGTTACCACAGGGGCTACAGCTATTACTATCGGCGTTGTCACCTTTCTCACCGCAACCACTACCACCAACGACCACCGTACTTCTTCGCGTTACCGGCAACATGCACATCCCGTTCATCTACAAATGAGCGATAGATCAAACGTGAAGAAAGTATGATAGATGTGCTCGGCTAAGCAGTCTTAAATCCCACTCTAAAACTCTAGTATTACCTTACAGTAAACGGTTTTTCTTTCACATTCTCCTCCAAGTTATCGCTACTCATCTTTTCAGCCTTTTATATTTTAATTACATGTTAATTCTACCATTAACTACGTTATTTTCCACGGTGACAGAGTAACTTCACCGGAGTCTGATTTTTAATTTACTTAAATGCAGAAATAGCATTTAGGCATGTTTGTTAAGACGTATTAGCGATGTAAACAGAATCAAAGATCGAAGGTATTTAAGAAGAAAAATGAAATTAAAACTGCTTGTTACCTGAACGAATCTTACATGTTCTAGGGGAGAAAAAGAATTTATGTTATATTCCTCGATAATAATCCAAATTACGGAATAAATAGAGTGATCTCCATACTCTATGAAAACTGGTCCTGTAATATGTAGTGAGAAAAGTGACATTCCTCAGAAATATTATTATCATTATTACAGCGAAATATCATTTTTATGTTAGCTGGGACAAGTAAAGATATCAAACATTTCAAAAGGCCTTAAAAACTAGTTGGTAGCCTGTGTAAAAAATTACTTTGCTTTCTTTTTATTATATCCAGTATCCTGCTTCCAATTTAGAAAAAAATGGTAACAAAAAATTATGGAATTGTAGGTCTTGTTGTTGTAGAAAGGTCTTGGGGCGATATATACCTGTATGTTCCGCGTAATCTGAGAATAACAATAATTTGGACAATTTTTAACTAATAGACGTAATAAGAGCCAAAGTGTCATAGCAGTATACATATATACATGTGTGTGTGTAAGTTGTGTAATAAATATTTTCACCTTCTTACATATATTCGATACAGACCTAAATACTCCGTACCTACTAGATTTCATTTTCTCAAGATTTTAGTAAAAATTTATTAGTGTTTATAGAATTTCTCAAGTAAAATTACTATCTAGTACTCTAGTATTCTTTCTTATTAATTTAAAGTAGAAATTAGATAAATTTATTAAATAAAAAATGTTATATTTGCTATGATATTTTGACTCTGATTCCTATTTGTCGATCAGACAATCACGATCTTAAATTTCTCAAGATCCATAAATACAATATTTCAAAAAATTGACTCACTTCTTACTATTTTCATTTGTTATTCCTAATTCCTGCCAATCGCATATTCATTTAACAAAATAACACATCGTTCACGAAATGTTTTCTACAACTGATATCGTTCGATAAAATTTCACTAATGGATAATTATTCGGAATAGGGGCAACCTTATCGATTTCGATGACCTTGAAATGTATTGTCAAGGTCGACATTCTGAACAACTTTCTCCTATACATATAATCGCCGCTCGGCTTCAGTTTTCAAGCTATAAGATAATTTATATCTGATACGACATGTAAATGTTATTTAACAATTTATTTTATAAATTATTGTTCTGTAAACAATTCTTCAATGGCGGTAGATATATTTGTTACATTTTTGACCAATTGAAGAACGGAATAAATCGCAACATTCCATGTATCAATCGATTCACAGAAAATTATTTCACGCAAGCATTATCGTCTACCTAACGCCGATTGCATACTATTCTACCCTAAGTTATGATCCATCAGTTTTTCTTTCTTAGTTATACGATACTAAAAGTGGTTTTTTCTCTCGTCAATGAATTAAGTTTAGGTTGGACTAAAAGAAAAATACGGCCGCCTAATCTAAAATGAAGTGTAATCAAGCCTACATTTAATTGAAGTTTTTTTGCCAATATTTTGACAACTAAGACTGAGCGAGGGTTATATATATAGGAAAAAGGTGTTCAGAATGGTGACCTTGATAACATATTTCAACATCATTGAAATCGATGAACCTCTATTCCGAATAATTATCCATTAATGTTTAATTTAGCTTCAATTGTACGTTTTCTTATTATTTTCTATAGAATTGTAGAAATTTCTACAAATTTGTAAAAATTCAACTTAGCGCGATTGAAAAATACCTTAATATTATAGATGCATATCGAGCTAGAATTAATGAATTAAAACGAAGCATTTATAATATTTGCATTACGACAAATATTATTGGTTTACTTGTGAAATGTGAGTATTGACAAATAATTCGTAATACATCTTGAAAATTTAAGCATTAAAAACAAAAAGAATTTTAGATATCTGTAATATAAAGAATGATAAATATTTGATAGTAAACGCCTAATTAATACATAAATATGTATAATACTTATTCACAAAATGTTCAATGGGTCCATTCCTGTTGTTTTACCAAAGAATCAAATAAAGAAATTAATAACATTTAATTTAGTGAAACAATGTTATTTTAACTAAATATGTAATATAGACATCTTCTGGGCGCATAAAATAAAATTGCTGCAATCGTATTTCACTACAAAAACGAAAAGTTCCTCCGCCTTTAATGATTCCATTTAATTGTTATTTGAAAATAATTATAACAGATTTCTATTAACGCTAAATAAAAGAATCGACTGATCAGTGGGAAAAATGGCGGAAGATATTTGTTTCTTATATCGTGGTTATTTCTAAGATTTGCTATGTGGAATATCAGCATATATTATGCAGAGCCCTTTATAGCAGTCAGTCAATATGGAAAAAAAATTAGAGAAGCACAAGATAGTCAATGATACACTTCAAGAAGAAAAAGAATATAGCAATGATTTCGCGCCCTGTTGTCATTGATGATGCCGTAACCATCCGTGTTATTATTATTACTATTGCTATTGCGTGCAAATGATTAAAAACATATCGAAAAGCTTTGAAAGCGATGTTGTACCGAGAGAAAGGTGTAAACACAACGAATCTTGTGATATGATACCGTACCTTAAACGCATATTACAGTAAAAATAACCAATATATATATTTATATATATAGGTATATATGTGTACACATATGTATGTATGTATATACGGTGTATCAACAAAATTAAAATTGATTCGAGAGATGATTTTGAGTAGAAAATGTAGAAACTCGTTAATGTTTATCAATCGTAACGTATCTTAACTATATAGATTAATTCTTACTTTCAAAATCGTCAATCGCAACCACATAACTTTTATTTATTATTCATTTAAAGCTGTTTGTTGAGATTTAAAAAAGTTTCTTGAAAAACTAAAATTTTGAAATTTGAAACAAAAGAGCAGCAATGTTTGCACGATTAATGATTTCAGAAATAAGAATTCATTTCGGCTGTCAAAGACATTAAAATTAGGGGAAAGTAACTGATTAAATTAATAATATTTCACTAAATTTGTCATGTACATATGTTCTCGTAACATTTTCTATCTAGAATCTCCCTCTTATCTGCGAATCGACTGATATGTTTTTGTTCAGCTTTGGTAATACACCCTGTATATAGAAATGAAACAACTACAGATATTAAATTGTTCATGTATATTAACTCTTAATCGATAGTGGTATTAATACAGGTAACTAACGACATACTTGAAAACATAGAAGCAAATATGTACTTGATGTTATCTAGAAATCATCGATATAAAATTCTGGCAACAGACATACTTTTCTCTCGGTGATCAGACAACTGTCAAAATGTGAAAAACCTTTTTTTTTACCTGAATCAACCTTGCTGTCGGGGAAGACCGCAAAACTGATTTGAACCTGAAAAAGCGTTAAAGTAGAATCTCTTCACATTTAATTAGTAGATTGATTACGCTCAAAAATAGATTTGTAGGTTTTAAAATTTGAAGAAAGAATTGAATTTACATAATTGGTTACGGTACATTCGAAGGAGTACTCTGATATTTTACAAACTCAGGGTGAATAATATTGTTAAGAATGGGAAGTATCTATACAAGTTAAAACGAATTCACACAAATGGGTATTAAACACATATGCGAATATGTATGTAGTCTTAATGTACGTACACTATGCATTCCAAATACTCGTAGATGTACCTAATGTGGATATACAGATATGCTGTTACAAAAACAAATATCTTCTAGTTACGAACAAGGCATATGGGGTACAAGCTGTATGTGCACTGATGAAATGCCGCAATACAACAGAATATACCGTTCTGCGATACAATGCAAAAATGTATATTTTTGCTTTTATTTTGCAAAGTAGATGTCCTAAAGATATGTATATCACATTTCCCATTGATCTGCCGTTAACTCTTATACATATATCATGTATTATATGTACATACACTGTATTAGTACTAAACTTTAACGAGCATAAAAATATGCGTGCACGTAAATATTTTAATTAACTTTGTACCTTACGATGTAACGTTCTTCGATTCTAGTAGCCACAGACTTCGGAAGCTTTAGATTTTATGTAGACATTAAATTTGTGAGAAACGATTTTTTTAAATAGAAAACGTAGGCACCCTCTGAGTACAACCTGAAATCCTATTGAAGTCGGTTATGTGAAAGCAACGAGTCTGCACTCTTCCAAAACTTGGAAAATCGTACGTCTCCTAGCAAAATTTCTTATAATCTCGTATATCTTATAAAATATATAATGATATATCGATGAAACTGATTGACTGACTATTATATTAGACTCTACATTTTCCAATAATTAGAAAAATTCAGAAATTTATTCCACATAACTTTTTACACTAATATCGCAATATCGATGTTATTTATATTATGCAACACTAGACATCTCCTGTTTAGGTTTTTCGTTTCCTTTATGTTACATTTACTTATGTTATTACGTTGCGTACCTATATACTTGTATTTGAGTATTTTTAACACTTTAAATCCGTAATACGTTCATTAAATTACGAAAGATACAACAAAAATATTATATTAAAAGTATTTGATTAGCAAAGTTTCGCTGACTTTTATATTCCAATTGAACCTTTTTACCTAATCTAGTAAGAAAATGTTTTTCATCTCTCGATGGATAACATTATAAAAATCGTTCAATCTCTTATTAAACAATATCGTTAATACTATTTCTTAAATCTGTAAGACATGCATTAACGAGTTTAAAACACTGTTGTCATGTATTTTAAATTGTTGAATGCAGTTTACGATCTGAATTCAAAAAATTTTGCTGAAAACAAGTCGATTTATTTTAGATACTACTATTGTTACATTTAAAGCTACGAATGTCGTGTATAGAAATTCAGTAACCTAATTTATTGTACTTGTAATGGAAAAAATGAAAAAATATGACAGCTTTATCGTCTAAACTTTGGGAACGAATAAAGGAAAAATTCGCTTGATCAATGTCATATAAATATATATATACACAGATACATATGTATATATAATCCGATTGTCAAGTCAAATAATAGATGGTACATGCTCTGCGAGAAAAGGAAAGGGTACTACTTTCTTCATGTGCAGTGTCAACAAATAAAATCCTATGTGGTCACCAGAATCCTATGTGGTTTGCATAAATTACTCATGCATAAATATAAAAAAATTATTTGAACCAGTACCAAAACAAGCTTGGGGTCTAATATCGCAATTGGCTTTATTCTTGCAAGCTTTTTTATCTCGTATCTATTCTCAGATTTATGTGAGTTAATGACTGTTAGTAATTGTTTGTATAGTGAATTTTCAATTTTCAATTTTAAATCTATGTAAACTCGTTTACTACTTTTTCTTCGATTTATCGCATTTATGATGACACGCGAATCATCGTATACATATAACGAAAAGTGAATATGGAATATAATCAACGTATAATACATAACGTATTACGCGCGGTAAGCTGCACAAGAATTAAAAAATATGAATACGCGATACAGATCTGTAAAAAAAATGCAAGTAAACGCGGCAGATTGTTACATGGAGTGCGTATTTTAACAAGCAGAATAAATAATATCTTTCACATAAACCTTTGATTCCAACGATATTGTTTAGCGGAAGCTTAATTTATATATGTATATTCTTTCGTTATTTTAGTTTTACACTTATACATATATATATATATATATATAAACACAGTTACTTGTTATTACCTCTAAAAGTTATTTTACATGAATCTACGAGCATCCTAGGCCTTCTTTTAAAACGAAAAAAAGAAAAGATAAAAGCACAGTCGAAATATAGCAGAGCTCCTTTCTATGTAATTAGTCTAGTTTTTGTAGGACACAAGTATACGCTTTCAGTCAATGACATCGCAGAGGCATCTGTTTTTTTTGATCGAAGAAGTCAATTGCCAGTGAACGCAATGACGTTGCGATTAAAAGAAAATGTTGTTAGTAAACGAATAATTCACTCACGCTCACACTCGAACGCATATATGCTCACATTCGCATGTTACGTTAAACTCTACACGTATCACATTTCTAAATGCACACGGACAACACAAACTCTCCTCTACTCTAATTTTAAACACTTACTGAATCTTCTTATTAGATTGCAGGTGAAAGATTCGGAGGCCGTGTTTGTTTCCTCGCATCTTAGGTCACAAATCGCTGGATCGTTTTTCGCAAATTTTAAATTCGGTACAGATAATAAACGACCTTCCCTTTTCGCTTGCTTCATCTTCACGATTTTCATCAGTCTCGGTGGTTTCATTTCACAGCTCTCGGCTAACGTTAAATTAACCGGCCGTACGGCATCCGATTTCTCAATAACGTTCTCATTGTCAGTGGAAAATCGTAAAATCGATTTATTTTTATCTCCTTCGATCACCGGACTTTTCGCTTCTTGATTGTTCCTCTTTTTATCATCGTTTAATGGACTTTCACGTCCAGGTATCGAGCCTTCTGATGACAATGAAGATTCGGACACGGTACTTTCAACTGGAGACAGCGAACTCGCGTTTTCGGGTATGTTACAGTAAAAAACGGAAGATTTCTGACTGCTACTATCAGTGCCTACCTGTTAACAATGGGGTACTTGTATATACTTTTTCATCGTAGACCTATCGAGATAAGAAACATCAGCTTTGTGCTATACAAGCTCAGACGATTAGATCTAAAGCTAACAACGACTAACGTACACCCAATTTTCAAACGTTTGTTTATTTTTTTACGTTTAGACAAACATCACGTAAAGCAATCAATAATACTGAAGAACTAACTTATTAAAATATATTAAAAACTTATTTATTATACGATGTTTTTCATAAAAAAGGATTTCACAGTTTCTTAAACTTCTCAATCTTTTGATCGCGTCCTAGTAATAAGTAAAGTTTATGCAACATATGTTCCTAACGCATGAAATAACGCATATAATTTTTCAACCGGAAAAAATAGCTAAAGAATTTTTGAAAAAAAACAACGTAAACAAAAATAGATCTCACATATTGGAATCATTAACAAATATTTGAATCGTCCAATATAAGCTGTTTTCATAATATTATTTCCTCAACCTTCTGCAAGGGATGATCTCAATTTTTATATTTTCAATAAAATGAAATTATATCAATTATAGAAAGTAATATATAATTTTGAATAGATATTTGCGTATACTTTTCGTATATTAAATATCGTTTTATTATACATATCTATCTCAAATTTGTAGCATATATTGCAATTATAATTATTCAACTTAACTCAAATTTCTTAAATAATTGAACGGACATAGGCTAGTATATTTAATCTTAGTCCGTAATGTCTTTATCTCTATTCTTAGTAACTTGAAGCTAATATCTAATCTCATCATTTATATTAATCTCACAGAAAGTTATTATTTTCAAAAAAAGGAGTAACAAACTTTCTCATTAAGGTAAAAAAATATAATATAACTATATTAAATAGAACTATAGCGAATTATTTCGAACGCAACGAAAAGAAAGCAATAACAAAAGCGAAGAAAAAAAGTAGAAGTAGAAAGACTAAAAAAAGTAATGATACGAACAAATAAAGCCATTTTAAGGAATGTGAAACATATTGCTGTACGTTTAAAATATATAGATCCATTTGTGGCTCATGAAAGTATTCGAACATTCTTAGAAACCTTCGTAAATGTTGACAAAAGGGAATCCAGCCCCAATGTCCTTGATGTTAGTAGATGTTGTCAAGAACACTCTCCTGAACGACTTCAAATCGTCACCGCAAACGTCAAAGTCAGGACTAACAATTTAGTCGCAACAAAATCATGTTTAAAAATTGTAGAATTTTTTAAATATTTTTTGGCAGATTTTGACAAAAAGAGACCCAGCTCCCATGACCTTGACATATGAATGTCTATGACGACACTCTGCTGAACAATCTCCGGAAGGTTTTCGTCCGTCATTCTTTAAAAACTTATTAACAAAAATATATGTACCACTACTACTACTGTGTACATTGTATTCTGTCTACGTAAATATATATGAATGCGAACACGGAAGTAGCCGATGCAATAGTCGAATTTGTCTCCCTCCCTCCACTTGTATCCACTTGTATCCTCGCTCCACTCGTTCGCAAAAATCCAGTCCAGCTCAATTCCACATGCAAACGAAGGGGGCCCGATTTTCGTCCAAGAAACTTTTTTTCTTAAAAATTCCTCGCCCACTCCTTTCGCTCACGTGTGGAATTAGTATTGCGTTGCAATAGATTTTTACGAGCGAATGAAACATGCGAGCGACGCGTACGGTGTTTCTTTGCTACACATGAATACATACCATACGTTGCTTTTTGCAAATCTTTTTCGGTAATAGCATTTTAAAGAACAACGAGCGATAGCTCTAACCTTTTGCAGATTATTCAGGAGAGTGTCCTTGACAACATATGCTAAGTTCAAGATCATTAGGGTTGATTTCTTTCTTTTTTTCAATATTTATCGAAACTTCTTCCATATGTATCCTAAAGACATTTCGAAATCTCATTAGCTCTGTAACTAGACGTGATTATAGTGATTATATTGGTCAAATTCGAACAGATCTGAAAATGAATAGGTACAGAAACCATTAGATATTTATCAGAAGCATACGCTTCGCAAAAATCACTAAAGTATTTGAACAATCAATTACTCGCCATATGAATAAGACACATAATTTAGTAATCATCATAATTTGTAATCATGTTTAGAGTTAATTGTATTAGGTCGCCCGAAAAGTTTCTTTCGTTTTATAAGGAAATAATGGATACACACATTTTTCGTTTTATATTATTTTATCGAATTACGTATGATCCATTCTGTTCTATTAAAATAAAGATCACAACGTTCGACAGATTAGGTTTCATGTTCGTATAAAGATGCATCGTTGTGAAAGATGTGTCTATAAAAGAAAGACACTTTTCGGACAACCTAATATGTTGGAAGGAGCGTTCAGACGATCGGATATTGTTGTCAATATTTCAGGATTCTCAACATTACAAGGACATAACCATCAGATGACCAATACATAATGTTGTTAATATAATACAGTCAATATCATTGAACATTGAGGAAATAGATTGACGTATCGTTAATATTTCGAATAAGGATGAGTTGGTTGGATGAAAAATATTTTTACTCCACATATTCTACGTCTTCGAAAATAAACCAATTCATCGATAAGTTTAAAATCATGGCTGTACAAGCTTTATTTTGATTAGATATCACTGAACGCTAACTCGAAATTGAATGTATTGCCAATAATATCGAATATATGAGGAAAATGCAGTTCGTCAATAGATATTGGCAATATATGGGGTGTTAAGAAAAAAGGATTCACGACTTTAAGGACTATAATACTCAACATATATCCTGCAATCAATCCCTTGAACGTAAAATCAATTTTTATCATTTATAAACATTCGATATTGTGAGTGAATTTTTTTGTTGAACGTAAACGAAGAGATTAATTCAGAAGCAAGTTAGCTCAAGGTAGTCAACATAAAATTATTTCTAATATTAACAGAGGTTATTGCATACATATAAACGAAGAAAAGACCTTCTTCTTTACAGTAAATATGCGATATGTTTTTCTTTCATTGCAATGCAAAACTCACATCTGCGTATTATAAATTGTTTGCATTGGCAACCTTGAGCTAACGTACTTCTGAATTAGTCTCTTTGTTTATGTTCAACGAAGAAACTTACTCACGACATTGAATGTTAGTAAATGATCCAAGATCCAAGGAATTGATTGCAGGAGCTATGTTGATTGGACATTTTTTGTTCCTCTTGATGAGTATTATAAGCCCTTACAATCTTACACAATTTTCTTTAAACACCCTGTATATCGATTATCTGGTGGGTCTCTTACATACGATTAATGTTGAAAACCCTAAAATGTGGTATACATACACAGATATTAATCATCTGAACACTCCGTAAGAATATATCAATATATACTTGCAATAAAATTCATGCAATTTGTATATTCATCTTCGGATTGATTTTAAATTTTGCTATTACAATATAATCACAATAGTTGTGTCATTACAATGTAAACGAAATTTCCAAATTTTTTATCATATAATGCACATAATATGTTTACAGAAAGTTTTCCGTGTTAAGTATCCAAATACTTTTGTGAGCCTCTGTACATAATGAACCTACTTTTCATTTATGTCGATAAATTGAAATATAGTAACAAGTTTACTATGTATTTTATAAAAGATGCGAAAAACGTTCAAATAAATTTTTGAATAATACTTTACATTTATGCTTCCATAATGTTAGAACAATAATGACAATAGTGTCTGGTAAATATCATTATAGAATAATGATTTATTGTTAGAAGAAATGACTTTGTCTACTTTTGTTCTTTAAGGATATACAACAATTTATAAAATTTAAATCTCTATAGAGTTTCTCATGTATGTAGTTATCTTGTATTATAGTTAAGTTATATATTAAGATAGTTAAACGAATCATTATAAATATCACATGTAATAATATGTATGTATTATTTAGTAGGAAGACGTTCATATTAAAAAAGTTATTAATAGAAAAATAACTTTCTTATTAGTATAATGTATTTTATACCATTAGGCAACGTTATCACCGTATAATCAGCAAACAGCATTATACCGAAGATACTGAAGCTAAAACGTCGAATAACGTTGAAATAAATCTATATATCGTTATAAATAAATATATCTTTCCATAAATATATGATGAAAAATATAATAAAAAGATTGTAGTATAATTTGCTTTATAAATCTTGAAAAGTCAAATCTTTCGACATAAATGAAGTAATTTCAAATGATATAAAATAAATTATCTCAGCTTACATGTTATAATCTCTAAGAAAAACGAAAGATGTATTCGAAGGATATATCAAAAAGCATACAAGTACCCCATTCTGAGACGTCACCAAAGTCGGCGTGAAAGTACTTTTTATTTTCAGATCAACCTTGCTGAGTTGCCTCTTCAGACTGAATCCCTTCCAACCGTGATTCTTAGTACAGTCTTCTTCGTTCACTGTGCCTCCAGATTTATTGGTTTCATTTACAGATTCCTCTACTGTTCCTTTCTCATTCTTGCTTCCAGTATGAAATTCACCGCGAGGTTGCGAATGTTGAACATTGTCAGCTAGGATTGCTAATAAGCCTTCAGATTCCACGGTAGAGTCTCCATGAGTCTGACGAATTTAACATGTTGGATTTTGCACAATGTATTAATGTGTACTAAATAAACGTTAAGATTGTTTAATTCTAATTCTAAAAGCAAATTAAGTCGTGTATTATATGCATATGATACACAGCATTGTTGTAATTGTATGTTAGTAACGCTTATTGGTATGTCCCGCATTTCGTGGATTTCATAAAATATATATAGTATAATCTTATAGATATAAACATATTATACGCCATGTTAAATATAATGTACTATATCTACAAATATTTCGTCACGAATATACTTTTATAAAAATGATATTAGAATTTTTAGTCACCAAACGAAGAAATATCGCAAACGCATGGTCACTTGTCACTTCCCAAATGAATGCAATTTTTGAAATGTTAAAAATGAAGAGTGCAGACAAGGGAAGGTATTGTTTTCATATTTCATAGAACTCGATCTATTTGCGCACTTTAAAATTAATGCAATGAATACCTAAGATGCTCATAGAAACAATATCTCAATCAACAAAGTGCTTTCCATTTTACAAATGCAAAACCAAATGCACCAAAAAGGTGCTTTCTCAGAAATTCAAATATATATATGCGGAGTATCGTTAGTATTAATTGGCAGTATCATTTAAATAACAAGTTCAGTTAAACTTTATTGATAGTAATAAGACAAGGAATGAAACGATTTGAATTTTGTCAATTTAACAATTTAAAACTAAAAATATGGTAGTTTCAACTTGATTTCTGAATAAGCACGCATTATCGTATAACTTATACCATAGAGGGTGTCTACAATTTTTCCGATACTAACATAATCCTTAAAATATGCTTATTAAATATTGTATAGTATTCAAAATAGTTAACACTAACAGACATAAACCATAGTTGATAATATAATGATTTAAGTTAAATAAATTTCCGTATACATATACTATACTCAAAAATATGTAAATGTATTTAAAATGTTTCAACTAACCAGTTACGTAATGTTTGCACTATGAAATAATATAGATAAAATAATAAATTTGTTTATACCGGAAATTTTAAACATGCACAATTTCAAGACATAGAGACATTTAGTACATAGAACATTATTACTAAAGCTGCTGTAGTATACTACTTTTGAAAGTATGAAAGATACAAACTTATAACCCATCTTCAATGTGTACACACTGTTTTATTTATTTCAGTACGATTTTACTTATTGTTTTCTAAAAAAATGTTCATTTACATTAAACAAATTTGTGAGCTTTTACCTTTTATAGTTTTTGAAATATTAGCTGATAACAGCTTTAATAATATAAGTTATACCATAAGGCTATCAATCAATAATTACACTATATTAAGTAATATATTTTGTATGCATTACTTCTTCATCAAAAGTACAATGACGAGAGAAATATTAGTAAGCAGAAATCTTTTGTGTATAATTAATGTAGGAATCGAATTATAATAAACAAATATTTTCCCCGAAAAGCTTCTACTAAATATACGCATTATTTGAGCAAAACTACGAAGATATAGTTAATTCTTGAAATCTATTAATGCAGTATTTTCTTTTTTCATCCTAAAATACGTCTAGCGTACTTAAAATAAACTGTAGCTGCAGTATATTATATGTATAGTCGTTACAAGCAAATTGAAACATTCCAAAGAATTCTTGATTATCTTTATCAACTAAAATAACGTAACTTTTAAGAATTCTATAGAATGCTTAAATTATTTACTTTACTGATTGTATGTATACATATACATATACATGTATATATGTATTTGAAATCACCTGCTATAATCGTCATTGCTTGATTAATGCTGTCATTTATGGAGACGATATACGTACGTAACTGAAACATTTCGTAACTTTTCATTATAAATGTACATTTAATAGATAATAATATCATACCATAATGTTCTTTATCTGTTCAATCATGAAGTTAAATATTAATCAAAGAACCACTTACAGATATATGATTTATATACACCTTACCATTCTTTCCAAACTTTCAATACATTGAATTCATACAGATTATTTCTGCAATTAATAAAATTGTTCATGATAACATTTTAATGGACTTAAGTGATACAATACTTTAGTGTTTAATCAGTATCGTTTGTCTCATGTAAGAAAACTAAATCATAAATCGCTTAAATATTGTTGTTGTACTTTCTGTTAGGTATTATAGTCTGCAATTAACTCGAATTACGATATAAGCAAGAACGCGATACACAAATTAAATACATTTATAATACTGTTCATGGTTACTACAATCTTAATGAAAAAGTTGTAGGGAAACAAAAATATAGGTACTGTGATTTTGTAGGCAGTTATCATTAAATACTATTATAGCAAGTGTGTTCAGCAATAATTCTGTGCATAAAGCTTAACGCAAATCAAAGTTTCACATAGAGCTATAAAAATAGCACTTTATATGATGATAACAGTGTTTTATTAACAACGCTCTGAAACTGAATATTTGTTTAAACATAAAAATAAAGGAGGCCCGAACGCCCAGGACTCGAATATTTTTCAAAAACATTTTCACTCTGACTTTTAAGCATTAATATATTATAATAACGAAGGTTATTTCTTTTATAAAAATAGTATTTTTAAGTGTAAATTTGTAAGTTCTAAAGCACAATTCTTTTCTGTACAATAAATTTAAATCGAGCAATATTAAACAGAAAATGTAGGAAATCTTAGGTAATATGAATAACAATGGAAAGAGAATTGCACGCATTTATATATGTATACAATAGTTTATCTGTAATCGGTAATTGTTTTCTATCGATAAATCTTGCAAGGCTAAAATAAAACATATATATATGTACGTGAACAAACACGCTATAAGAGGAAAACTATTGACTGTACTATAAAAGAATGTGTATTTGCAAACGTGTGAATATAAGACAAATGCTTGAAATTGAAACTGAATCGATTCGATTTGACAAATCAGTCAAACCAGTCAAACCAGTCAAAAGTTTGTTCTATTTAATTGTACATTAGAAAAAAGGGACTTTCATTTACTCAACATTCATGTTAACAAAATATAGATTGGTATTGATTGCTCCATGCACTTTTTTAAATTCGGTACAGGAACGTTGTAATATGATATGTAGTAATAAATGCATGTTTCATTTAACCATTTTGTACACCTTGTATCGTTGTAACTCTAACTTAATTACTATATAGGTACATGCACAGACTCCATCAAACGTTTATGTGAAAATCGACGCACATGTATGTTTTACTGGATCATTAAGCGGTATACACTCATAATGACAACCATTGTCTAGTAATTTAAGCTACATCTTTCATCGTGTTACTTGTTTGTTTTTCGTTTCTACCTATTTGACATCAATTGAACTTCTAAATACGATTGAAAGCTAATAGTAAAACTGAAACATTATCTACTATTTACTACCTACTTCTGTCGAGTTCGTTTATTTTCGCAATAAAATAATACCGCATATCATCAAACTAAAGTAAAAGTCTAGCTGTTTCTTTAACGAAAAATAGTATTGTTCTTACTTGTTTCAACGTAGGTAGACACATAGTTAGCTAAACATTAAATGCATAATAAGCATGAATATAATGAAGATAAAACGTTTCTTTATTTAAAAAAAAAAAGTAGAGTATATATACGACCCAATTTTAAAATTATAACGCGTTACAAGAATTTTAAAACTCATCTAGCGTCGATCATTAGACATTTTCAGATGCATAACATGAAATTACTTTTGATAAAAGTGACTTACATAAATCTGTTGCAACTAACTTTAACACTCGGCACATGGAAAATGACAAGTTTGACCACTAGTTGCCGATAACATTCTCGTTTGTTACTTAAAATTGAATAATTCGCGTCTAGATACAACTTCCCCTGTTAAACTTTTTACTTCTAAGATTCCAAGCAGAAAATACAAACATATATAGATCCAGTATATAGTTGCGATTCATTTCATTCACAAGCAATTTCTTCACCTAGAATCTCCAATCATAATTTTGAAAGGCATCATATGCATATGCTATATGTAATATCATATTATCATTTATCATGTCAATTTAATCGCACAAATTCCTGTTTTGAACTTGTAGAATTTTTAAAATATTCATTGGCAAATATTAACAAAAAAGAACTCAGCTATTAGAATTGGATCCTCTTTTGTCAATATTTACCGAATGTCTATTGTGATAATTGAAGTATTTAACTTGCTGTGAAAACATCTTGTCTACTAAGATAAGGTTTCTTCTGCTTACAAATTTTATATTCTTTTACAAATGTTTATTTCTGTAATGAGAATTGAAACAATATTTCAAACAGAAGTTGAATTACGCAAGCTTCTACGTTGAAAAGCGTATAAGATTATGAACATTTCATTCGTTAAGGAGTCAAATACCTAAATTACTTTTAGATTCTTTATCTACATACTTATAAATTGCTGCTATAATATGCATGTGAATATGAAACCAACTTTTTTTATAAAGAAAGATGAAATCTCTTTTTCAAACTTTAATACATTTTTAAAAATGCTTGTACTTTATAAATTTTCTGCTTGGAATTTATGAAAATAATATAATAGTTATATACTTACTTAACTATTAGAATCTTTATCTAAACGATGGGTTAATCAAAAGCACCTTATGAATTAAAATAACGCATGACAATAATTACGAATATAAGAAGCTAAAACAGACGACAAAGGCAAAGCTTTAGGTTTTTAACTGATCTGAGGGGAAAAGAGAGATATTTAAGCTTTATCTTACAGTTACGTTTTAAATATTAACGAATAGAGTAATTATTTGGATATCGTCTACGTTATTTTTATTCGATTAAATGGTCCTTCGGTTTATCGTTGGGTGTTTGGTTTATTAGTTATCATTTTTATTAAAGCCTAGTTAATTTATATTATTTCTATCTCATAAAACGTGTAAAACGATGGTAATAAAGTATAAAATAGAATGATAAATTTGATTAACTATTAAAATATATTAGTTTTTCCAGTAAGTAGGGAATAAGCTTTTATTTTTTAATAAGGAATCTCCTGTGAAAATCAAATGATACCTTCGATATTATTTTCCTTCCGATAACGTTACTAGGAAGCTATTCTTAAAAACACTGTATTATATGATCTACGACTATTATTATAAATTCTACTTTTAATATTTGTATCAAAGCTGAAATGTCGCGATGTTATTGATAACATGAGTTTTTAGTATTTACAAAAAAAAAACAAAAATTAATAATTACAAATTTAGTAATAAATTGAACATTCAAATTATATAGTTTTCTTTACAATCATGCAGTAATGGAGATTATTAGTTTTAATGTCTAGAAAAAGCGAAATGCATATATTTAAATATCAAATTTTCAAGATGTTTCATTGGATAAGGTTAAGGAAAATGAGGAGATTACGATTAAAATATTTAAGACAGCTTTAACTAACAATAAGAAAGAAATACATTTTACCTGGTCTGTGCTAGGACTTCTCGCTTTGTCTTCGTTCTCTCGTTTCAATTCATCCTGACGTTTCGGACTGCGTAGTACTCGCTGACACGGGTCCGTGTTACCACCGATATCCGCGGTGTTCAACACAATCAAAGAAATCTTCTGAACAATGTCTATTATCACTATACCAGACTCGTTCCCATAAGCCATTCTAAAATTAAATAATATTTATTTAAAAAGAAATTCCCTCTATTCTTTCGAGCAGAAAGCAAACACTGATATTGATGATGCAATACAAAACGAAATTAAATTAAATATAACAGAAATTTCACATTTCTAAGAACTCGTTGAACATCCAAAAGCTTTAATAACAGACGAATTGATAAGAATCTCGTATACTGTATAAATTATTATCAAATCTCTCGTTAGATTCCATCAAGATTTGATGACGATAGTAAACATCTGCCAACTGTTTGTGGTCTTGTATAGAGCATTTCATATGTCATTAATTATCATTATTACAACATTTTAGAACTTCCTTTCAATTTTGCAGAAATAGAAAGCTAATTTTTTAGAATTAAAATCTTTTCATGTATATTGCTTATAAATACATGAAATATACATGTAGGATTGTATGCTACAACTTTCTGACGAAATATACATTTACTTTTATAAATATTGTTATCTTCGTTTAAAGCATCAAATCCAAAAAGTATACATATGTCATGATAAGAGATACGGAAACATTAAATATAAATTGTATCTAAGAGAAATGACGGTCCTGTCCATATGACTTGCATTACTGGAACGCTGTAAATATTTGCTTGGTTTGTAACTAAAAAAATTAGTAAATAAATAAAGGCTGGTAAAATTAATAAACTAAAATTAGTAAGTTATCCTATATTTATTGCGGTGCAGAAGACTGTCGGGTTTTGGAAATATTTGGAGAGTTTTTCAAATATATACTAGTAACTAGACTGCGGATTTCTATGCACTTAGCTATAGAAAATTTGGAAATGAAAAATTTCACAAAATGCACATAATATGAAAAAATATATAAAATATCCAAAAAATAGCGCTTTTTCTAAAACAATTTTCTATCGAGTTTATATATTTTTAATTATATCCTCAAAAATATGAACTTGCGTAAAAGTTTGCAGTCTAGCAGTCTAATAATAGGTAATAGACAAAGCCTCAAGCACAATTTTTGATTCTTTGTTTTCGTTTCATTTTGTCTTGTAAGAAAATCCCTTAAATTTTCTACCATCTGTTGTTAAATATCCTCTATCCAACAATAGATATAATACTGCCCGCAAAAGCATTAGTAATGAGGAACCATATGCAAGATATTTCATTTAAGGATATTTCATATGAAATCTTGCTCAAAATTATAACAGAAAATAATTTAGATAAAAATTAAACGGTTTCAAGGGGAATATAATTTCGTGTAATCGACATGACAGGAATAAGTTAGGCGATCGACTAGGATTGATTGGGAATTCGAAAACTAGACGAATCTTCAACATTTAATCAGAAATGTGACTACGTACGAAAAAATTTTCAATATCATTTATACATTTTCGACTTATTGTTTTATGTAAATTCATTCTCTTTTCGGGTTGATTCAGAAATACTCTATACCATATAAACCTTTACGAAAGTATTTCATGAATTCAGAAAAGATTCACAGTATTATTTTTTTTTTTTTTTACGTAATCATACAAAAAGTACGTAATCGAATCTCATAGTACACTACATTGTATACTAAATAATTTTTTTTTAAGTTACATATCTATAGAACAAATAAAATTTCTAGAGGAAATTGGTATAAAAAAATGGAAGACAAAGAAAATAAGATATTTTTGTCTGTCGATCAATAAATTATAATGTGAGGCTTTCAGTCGCAGTCAATTGAGTTAATTAAGGAAAAATAAAGGAAAGCACTTTCATCAAAATACTATGTGGATAAATGGAGCCGACGTACCAGCTTTCTTTTCATTTATGTTGTTTTGGTCAGTTAATACATAAACATGCACTACACAGTAGCTTAAAATTAATTCTTTTCAGATCAATGAACCTTATACAGATACTTTAAATACTTACAAACCATAGGAAGAATTCAAACTGAGAGCTGTTATATTTTCAGCTTGTTCTCCGATATTGGCAATCGTTAAGCAAACCAGGGTTGCCTGAAAGCCTGCAGCCCTCTTCTGTAAACCAGTCTTAACTTTAAGTGGTTGATTCGATTCGTTATTTTTTGACTCGCTACTTCCCGAAGTATTACCAGCTGGAGAATCATGGTCGGATGAACTTTCGATTTCCTTAGCTGGATCAGCTGTTAGTGATATCTCCAAAGTCTATAGTAAACGCCAATAAATTGTTACTATTTAATTGGTAGGCAAGTGTTGAAAGCTAACATTATATTTATGAAAGGAAAATAATGCTCAATTTAAAACAAAGTTAAATGCAATATTCTTATAAGACTTTAGCATTTATACAATGAATTTTAATATCTAAATACGACTTTACATTGAAACGTGTATTAAATCTCGGCGTTTAAAAGAAAAAGAGCTTCGGTAAAAAGCGTGTATCTACAGTTCAATAATAAAAATTCAAGCTGGAAATTAAACTTTCTTACATTCGTTTCCAATTGAATAATGTAAATATTGCACGTTTACGTATATAGAATAAAATTGCCTTTTCAATGTTCTAGTCATTAACTAATTTAGCACTCCAAATTAATGTTGTTATAATCATCAAGATTTGTATAATGTGATAAGATTTAAAAACGCGGTTATCACTAAAACTCTAAGTATACATACAATTAAAAAGTAAATTACTTACCACGACTTCCGACATACTCTCAACTTTTTTGAATTTAAATAAAACAACGTGTCTTCCGCTACCCGCAATCGCTAATTTTCGACTTTCGGGACAAAGGAAGATGAGTTGTATCGCTAAAGGATCTTCTTCCGAGTCTATACTACGTGTTCTACCTTTTTCAAAAAGTTTCGCTGTCTTCAGTTTATAAAGCACTTGTAATGTGCCTGCCGATGCATCCCAAAACTTTATGCTACCATCAGCGTGTCTAAAAATACGTATCTTTATTATTAATACATCATATTACATACAAGCATGTTTCTAATATTTATGCATGAACTTATTAGAATTGAACTTTTAATGAAAAGAGTATATGATGACGTACATTTTCGACACTAACTCGTATCATAATCTATTATATCACATGTCTGTTTACTATTTTCATTGAGTTAAATATAACACTTTCGGCATTACGATAAGTTACAAATTGCAGTATAAGAAATTTCCAAAAAATTGATTGTTCGATAAGAAGTCAAGATTACATTGACTTTTTTAAATGATATAGTGTATTTTTTACTTTACACTATCGTGGCTGATATTAAAACGAGTTCAGCGACTTACTATACTACGACCTTGCAATGACCTTAAATCATGAAATATTGATTTAATCAAGGGAAGCTGAAAGTTATTTTGTTTCGATCAAATTACACATTTTACAATAGTAAGCTTCAACAAAAAAGATGTTAATCATACGCACATTACAGAAGGAGCATAAACAGTGTACAAAAATAAACATACCTTATGTAGTGGTGTTATTTACGTAGTGTCATTTTAAAAAATCAAGGTCACCTTGGACATTCTATCGAAAAGACAATTTTTTAGAAATTTCTGATATTGCAATTTGTGACCTTTAAAATTAAAAGCTGATTAACTTTTATTCAAAACATTGTTTTGTTAAATTACCGAAAGTGCCTGAAAAATCGTGACAGCAGTTATGTATAGCTTGCTGAAAAAGAAAGATCTTTTGCTTCAAATAGAATAACATCTTTGCTACTTTATTACCTCTAATGTCGTAGAACAAATTCCATAAAAATGTGTCGTTTTAATTGCCATTTTATAAAATAATTTTTTAAAAATAACAATATATAGTTGATGAGTAATACGTTATATACTTGATAAGATGAAAAATATGCAACATATCGTTACCAACAGTGAATAATTTACAATAAGTAAACAGTTATATAAATATACAAAAGTAGTTTAATTAAATTTTGTTTATAAATGTAAATAAAAATATTTACCCAGTTAAAATAATTTCATTGTATCCGCTTGAGCTTGAGCTCCATTCCCCACCGGATATTGGCCAATCCTTTTCGCTAAACCCTGTCTTTTTTTGAGACTTTGATCCGACTGAATAAAAAGCTGGTACTAGATCCGAAGGACAGTCAGCAAAATACGCACAGCATGTCACAGGTGACTCGTGTATGTCCATCGGATATGGATTTTCAAAACACGGAAATCCAGGAGTTAATAAATCTATCACAACCAAGTCATTTTGTAGTAGAACTACAACAGCATACGGATCTTGATAATCTATAAGAATAGAAAACATTAATCATAACAATTTCACGTGTAAGATAAGTAAAATCTGAATTACATATATATTATATAGAGAAATAACGAAATCATAACTTTATCTTATGCGGGGTATCTCGGGTTTATTCTGTAAAATGATACTAGTATATTATCATGATATATATATTCTATGAATAACAATATATAAACATAGGCTTATAAATGCTGTATTAAAAAGTTATAACTGGTGTAATGAATTGGATGGATTGAATTTTTGTTCAATATAATAATTAAACGAGCATCAGCCTTACCAATGAATAGATCAAGAGATAAGAATAAATAGGTGTTAAAATTGATACAGGAAGTTCGTTACATTTTACAGGAAAACACCGAAATCAAAAGAAATGAATGTGAAATTCATAATATATGTACTAACTCTTAAAATATACTGAGACGTTTTTTTAAAGAAAGACCTGATACTCTCTGCAAAGTGCGGCCGAGTAACGGTATAAACAGGCAAAAGTTAGTTCCTTATGGAAAAATAAGGAGAAAATATAGAATAGCATTCTTTCATATGGTACATTCGTTTTCAAAAAAATTGAATTTAAAAATTTATCAAGTATACTTGAACATGGCTAATTTCGAAGTAAACAAGAGTAAATGATCGACAGAGAAAAAGATCGAGAACATAGAACAAAATTTTTCCACAAAACGCTTTGTTTCTGAGAAAAATAAATTTGAAAATTTATCAGAAGCCAGTTCTTAACTAAATATGTTCAGATCTTATTCTCTCGAAAATGGAGCTTCAAACAGAAATTTTATTCGACATTTTTGATTTACATGGTTTGTCTAATAGAGAATAACCTCCTGCTGATTATTTTCTTACACCCAGTGGCTAATTAGTTCAGTTCAAGTATACGTGATAAATTTTCAAATTCGATTTTCTCGAAAACGAAGCGTCATGAATAAAATTTATTCTATATTTTCTCCTCATTTTTTCATAAGGAATCACCTCGTGTCCGCTTGCACGTGTTATTCAGCCGCACCCAGCATAAAAAAGGAAACTCTTGCGTGAGAAGAGCAAGAAGTCAACATATACATATGTATTTTGCTTATGTAGTTAAAGTAACATATACATATTAAGTATTTTTTATAATAAACTCAAAAGAAATTTAGTAATTTTATTAATATACCACTGGTCCATGGATTTTCGCACAGTGTTATGAAGTCTATCACATTGTGTTCCATTTCTAGTACGGTGGTAGTTTTCCCATGTATCACCGTTATACTTGGAGTTCGGCCAGTTGTGTCATACGCTAAACCACCGGAAAATATAACGTATGCTTCCCTAAATTAACCAGAACGATACAATATAATTCAAATCTTGCGCCTTTAATTATTCGAAATACAAGATGTCTTATAAAAAATATGTAGCATCTACTTTAGGAATGAATTGAACATTTTAGAATAAAAAGATACCTATAAATAAGTATCCTATTTGACACTGTTTATATTTATAAATTACAATGAAATTTGTATTCTATCAAACTCACATTCATTGTTACTGTTTCAACAGACTCAGACTAGTTTGTATGTCAATACAGACATATACATAATACTTTTTTAATAATCCCTTTAACTAAACTACTGTTAGTAGCTGTTAATGCTTTTTAACTGTCATTCATCGGTTTTGATAAAGATTGTTATAAATGATTAAAAAAATTGAGAAAGTTCAGAATAGAAACTATATTTTTCGTAATATTATATATTAGGTTGTCCCAGAAGTTCCTTTTGTTTTATAAGGAAATAATAGATGCACGACATCATATGTATATACATATACTCAAATACAAAGAAATCGGAAAGAATGTAATTTTTACATCGAGCTCTGTTTATACGAATCTATCAGGAGACAAGTAGATTCTTGCAACCAAATCATTCATGTAATAGAAATCCACCTGTTTCCCTTCACCATCTGTGATTTTTCAGTTAAGAGGACTACGTGTTCATATAAGAGAATTCCGCGAAACATTTTCTCTTAAATACAAAAAAACTCAACTGCGAAGCATGAGAGTGTGTCACTTGACGCGTTTCTTACTGTTTACTTCTTATTGTTAGACGCTCATATAAGTGAATTGACGCTCGGTGATAGTACAAATGTTAATAATAGAAGCTCACAATCAGCGAAAGTTGAGTTAATTAGGCACTACTAAAATTTCGTCCATATAAACGAAGTTCCATCGTATCTAAATTTATCAGAAATTTTTGTCGATTTTTTAACACTCAACGTGTATCTTTTTATCGACAATCATTCACATTGAAGTTGAAAGACTGAGAACAGCTCTTAAAGTTTGGATTCGAAAACATATGAAATTGTATCACTGAACGAATGTTGGGTTTTTGAACGACGAACATGACTGTTCAAATAGAATTTTAAGAAGTCCATATTTTCTAAAAATTGAAATATAACTTTTGTCTAAATTTGCTTGGAAATATTCACCCATCTTATGTAAATTCATTTGTGTAGACTACATATTTAAACTCGATTTGCAGGAAATTAAGAAAAATAATTATTATAGATATTTGAACAAATATTCAATTAATCTGTTACGTTTAAAAATTGATGTGTTAAGTTGATCTAGATATTTACGGACACCCTATATAAGTGGCATGATTATTACACAAATAACAATTTTTAAATTAAATGGATTACGTACAAATGGATACAAATGCCCCGGTATAAAAAATACGCTGAAATATCTACGCTAATACTGAAAAAAAACAACTCTGCCCGAGAAATAATAATTTCCGAGATAAAAATTCTTGAATGCAACTGAATTTCATGAACATAAGCAAAAGTTCAAAGGTTAGTATTTAAATTCGTAACCAGCAAAATCATGGCTTCCAACCCACCCACCATTCCTCGTCATACTTTATTTTAAACAAAATCCCCGATATCGATGTCAAAAAGAGATCAATTTAAGATTAAACGGTCCTATGTCGAAAAATAGAACAAAATACGCGCAACTATTCGATGTATACGGTTTTCACAGGTGAAAAAATCGTACCCGCCAACTTTCAAACACAATACCTCGTTGTAAATCATTCTATTGTAATATCGCGGACAAATGACCTAAAAGATATCGGGTGAACCGTAAACAATGTCGCGAGAAAATCTTAAGTGCCGGCAGAACACGTGCGTGGTGGGTCTATGAAAAAAGACAAAGGGACGCTAAGGGAGAAAGACGAATTAACAGTCAGTGTGAGTTGAAAAATTAGAGAGTGTGAATTGAGAAGTCAGAATGTTGTCAGCGTTGTCGAGGAGTGTGGTCCACGTGAAAGAGAACGTTGGAACCGTGGTGACGAGAGTTGTAAATTAACTATTTGATTGTCTTAGTTATAGCATATTACTGTATTTAGTTCATCTTAAATAACCATCGTTTCCTATTTAATCCATTTTAAATAAATTAATAATAAAATCCTACACTATTAATATCGAAAATATAATAGTAAACTTTTCGTAACCAATTTTTTAAAACTTCATCCAGTACTCATGGTACGAATACGTACATATTACATATATAGACAAAAGACCAGGTACGTTCTAAAATCCTATAGAGTTGGAGTAGAATATTGTTACTCCGGAAGTATGTTATTTATTTTTGATAATAAGTATAAAAAGATGTCACAGAGAAAAATTGTTTGTTTGTAACTAGTAAACATTTTTTCTTAAGATAATAATTTTCAGGATATTATGTTCATTAATGTTCTTTAATATTACGTTCATCGTGATGTACCTTTACTTTAATATACAGTATTTCGAAAGTATAGATGAGTGAAACAAAAAAATAATGCGAGATGAAAGAAGAAATATACACTTAATCTCACTCTACTTTCTAACAACGAAACTTTCTAAATACAAATCCCCCAGATATAAATTCAATTACATTTTAACTATAAACCGCATGCTGATACTTGACACAGCGTATGTTGTTTTATTCTCACATAGGAATAACTAACTCAATATACAAAATTCACTTAAAATTTTGAATTGGATTTTTTAAATATAACACATTACAGTGTATTACTCATAATATTTTTAGATATTCCAATACTTATAATAGTATTACTTATTTATTCAATTGTTTGAAGAAGAAAAAGAAAATTGTTGTATATAAAATAGATTTTGTTTCTTTCATTCGAATGACCGAGCTTGTATGTTTCTATGCACCTTAATCTGTATACCCAATGTTAACAAAAATTGATTATATCTTACCCTGATCTTGACAGCTTCCATTCAACTTTTTGAATTGGTTTGCAAGGTTCTGGCTCGCCATCTTTAGTAGTTTTCGCTGTAAATATTATGCTTAATAAGTATAAGTATAATATATAATATATAATGTAATAGTATATAACAAAAAGTACATATACATATATATACATTATATTTTAAGATAGGAATGTATATTAATATAGATAACCTATTTATCAGCGTTATTTTGATAGATATAAGAATTCTAAACGAAATCAATTTCAAATAAACTATGTACGTATGTAAGTCGTGTACGATGTTGAATTTCAAGGGTTTATTAATTAAATTTATTAACCAGAGAAATTCATTTTTACAAATTATAACAATCTTATTCTTTGAGTTATTTATAATCGTCCGCTGTGAGAAAAATAGAGTTCTCTGTACATTCTTCTTCAGAGATTTCTCTGATAGTAATCAATACTGCCAATTCATATTAAACAAAAAAAAAATATACAATACATAGGAACCAGTGCGCATTTTTTGCGACTTAGTGCGATTTTTTCAAACTTCGATGGCAATTTATAAACATTCAAAATCATAAAATTTAATACATAAAGACGCATCTCCACTACGCCGATCGACAAAACCGAGCTTATGGGCAATGGGGATACGTGATCCGCACATGGCAACAAGCCGCGCGGTATAGCCAAGGAGCAAATCTTTTATGCATTATAGTAAACACCGCAATTTATGGTTTTACGGTGAAGGTCCATGACATGAATAAAATAATTACATTGAATGTATCGTAGGTAGGAATACATATAAACATGGAAGAACATAAATGGATAAACATAAGTATATAAATCGCATTGCAATACGAATGCGTACAAATTGAAATAAATTCCAAAGAAAATTATACCATTTGGGAAGACTCTATTAAACATGTAAAGATTTCTCGCGTTTGTAGTACATAAAGATCAACTTTTATATCTCTGAATTTCTTATAATCGGCTTATTTTGTCTTTCTGGTTGTTATCATATATATATAATCGTCATGATATATATCGTAGAAAAAAATAGTTAGACTAACATACCTCTAAGTATGTATGTATATTTTGAAAATTATATTTCTGAATATGCATTCTTCTGGTAGCAAATATAAAAGAGTACCGCTACACAAGTACCATTTGGACGGTATAATTAACGCAATTAATAAAGTTTTTATGACATCAACTTGTTAAAATTAATTTAATAGCAATTAGACAATTAATTAATAAACTTCTTAACATTATGTGTACATGGAGTTAGCTAGAAAATATTAATATAATATAAGCTAATATAATATTATGAGCTCTCTTGAAACCATTTTATCTTAATTAAATGGAACTTAAACTTTTCTGCAGTTGTACTAGGGAACGAAACTTGGTCGCCAACATTTCTCTTAAATGGAATGGCAAACATTATCTTTTCTGTTTCTTATTTATAATCAAGAAGTTACGACGAAGATCTTTTCTTAATAGAAACTTTGAGGAAATATTGAAAGATGTCAAAATAAATGTACCTACATTGGATTGGAAATCATTGTCTTAAATGTTCAAAACAATGTCCTTGAAACAATCTTTTCATTAGATTTCTGTTTATATATCGGCATAAAACATTAAGCGACTCTTATAACAAAGGAAGTTATGACAGCAAGAATACATACTGCCTTTTGCACCTGTTACGTCGGGCGACACTCTACCTAGACCAAGCCACACACCGCGGGCAAGATGGGAAGCAGATGTCCGCTTATCCTTACTGCGTACACTCAATAGTCTTAACGACCCATCGTAAATCTTAGGAATTTGCTAGCTAAGGTCCTTCAAACCGAACAAATATTGTTTTTCTAAATTGCTTTCTAAGGAGTATTCTCTACTACGGTTGACACGGGAAAGTTAGTTTTTTCTCAGGTATAACACTTCACACTAGCGACTTTCTATCGAGGGGGGTTAAGACCCTTCCTAGTCCACCAACCTTCTTTTATCTAATCAGAAGCAATGTCCACTTATTCTTCAACGTTAGAATAGTCAACATGTCAGTACCGGGTTAGTCTCCTCTATTGCTACGTCAACTATAACTAAAAACTCTACTATAAGAGCCTTGCTCGACTACCAACGAATATTGTGCCAGTATATGGCATCTTTATACGCCGAATCATTGTCCACGACGTATCTCATACGCAACAGTGTAACTTAAGTGTTAAAATATATAGTTTATAACCCTGTTAATCGCAGTGCTATACTCTCTCAACCACCCCTATTATCTCAACGGAAATCAGGGGATCGATCTATTCGCGGCGTCGATTATTATAATCGTAACGGGAATTTACGACTCCCGTTGACGTGTTTCTTCGCAATTGCGTCTCCCCACGATTGGTCGAAAATACAGCACATTTAACCCCTTAACCTACGATTTACTTTAGAGAATTTTGGGCCGAAACCGTAAACAAGCTATTGTATATTATATATTATATTTGGCCCGATCATCGTACTACAGGCTATGCCCATAATATTTACGTTCGGTCCGATCATCTACTACGGGCCATGCTTGTAATATTTACGTTTGGCCCGATCATCGTACTACGGACTATGCCCGTAGTTGTAGGTTAAGGGGTTAATTACCTTATTGATGTTATCATAGGTCTTATTTAAAGGTCCAAAAACATTTATTTTACATATTTAGTAAAATAAATTTCAAGCTAAAACATGTTCATGTAAATGTTTCATGTCACCTCCTCGCTTTTTTCTAGAAAAACCATTCTTCGTCATAATTCTTTAGTTATGCCGAATAGAAAAGAATGTTTTAATTAAATATAATTAATATTAAACATAATTAGTAATCTAACTAAATATCATTAATATCTCATTCCATTCCAACAAAAATGATGTGCCTCCTTTTTTCTCTGAACAATCTACCCAGAAAATATCGTTGCAATCCAAACCGTTACTTTCTCCGTTCTATTTAATTCTAAATAACAGTAACAAAAGATTGAAATCGTTATCCAATTTTGGATAAAAAAAGAGCTCATTACGCTTTATTTGGCACACCCTACAGTAATGATGGTTTAAAGTATTATAAATATGTGCCATGTAGATTTCATGTACATACATACGCATACAATTCATAAATGTTTAACAAAGAATTAGCATTTCATGAATTGCCGAGACAATAACAAAAGATATTTAAATAAAAAAGAAAAAAAAGAAAATTTCTCACCATGTGGGTGCGTTATATTCGTTGGCTTTACTTGACGCACCGTCCATGTTGCCAAAGAACCATCAGTATGACTACACATAAACTGTTTACCCTCGTGATGCCAAGATATCGATTTCAAAGGTACGTCACTGTGGCATCTGTATTCTGCATTTTTTGTTTTTAAATCCCAAAAAACCATTTGTCCCGACTCATATCCTATCAGCATCTGAAATTAAAGATTAAAAGCATGATGTGTCAGATGTGTGTCTGTGTGTATGTGTTTATGTGTGTATGTTCTGTGTGTGCCTGTGTGTGTGTGTATGTGTGTGTGAGAGAAAGAAAAAGAGAGAGAACAAGAAAATACTTATGTCATAAATAGCTATTCTAAGAAAAATGTTGTATGTAATTTTTTATAATAACACATAATTTTCATAATAAACTGATACAATTTATAATACAAATTACGTACACACAACAAGAACAAATATGAATATGTAGTGCAGAATGGATCAGAAAATTTGATATTACTTTAAATGCAATGAGCAACAATTTCATTGAAACTGTGTGTTGAAATTTTATGTAATTATGAATTGTAACATAAAAATAGTTAATGAATATCCAATTTCAATGCTGCATTTATATTTCTTATTAATGTGCTTTATGATAATTTGCAAAAGTTAATTGCAAACGACTGCTATTTTTCAAATAAATATTATAAGTATTTATTATAATTTTATATTACCTTACAAATTGTTTTTAATTAATTTACAAAAATCCATTATTTTCTATCAACTAACGTAAACTTTCGTTTATGTATATCGCACTATATGCAAATTTTATTAAATGTATATTAGATATGATATACAAGAATTTATTAATGATGTAAAATTATTGAACAATGTAACAATTTCTCCTATGTGATAATGCTAAGCAAACATCCCTTTTTATTGGAATTTTTATATTCGATCAATTGGAGTGAACAGTGAAATATATATAATTTTTCTTTTTTCTAAATGAAAAGAACTACAGTGGTTCGATTGAATTTTTTCCTGAATAATAAGTTCAAACATAAACTAAAGCAGATCATGATATTGAAGAAGAGCAAAAAAAATGGATTTTGTTAATATAACTACTGTTACTTCTACAAAAATGTTTTCGCTTTCTGTTTGTGTAAACAATGTTGTGCAATTCGTTTTTTGATCACACAATAAGCACTTACAATAGAATTTCTTCAGGTAATGTTACACGTGTTATACCTTTAAATAATATTATAATATATGTCTAACATTTTTCATTTTATAGAGGCGGATCTCTTTTCTATAGTACACCCTTAAGTTGATCCTAAAAGTTTCTTAAATCATCGTATGATGATATACAAGTATAACTTATACATACAAAGAGTATATAGAAATCGCAAAGCTACATAAAGATTTCATAAATTGGTTAATGTCTACATATTTTCATTCTGCATTCTGAATATTAAGTATTCTTAATAAGCATTCCGTATACGCATTATTAACCCTCAAATTAGTATTGTTGGATCGTAGATGACATATAAAAGCTTAGGTTAAATATTATTTTGGAGTACTTGATATTAATTTATATTTTGTGTTCTATGTGACAATCAATAGTATTTATCATGTAAAGTACTGAGTATAAATTAATATTAAGTACTCTAAAATTAAGTAACAATTTCAACTATTATGGTTACATATGACCCAAAGATAATTGCAGTTTAAAGTAATTCTTAGTTGCAAATAGCAACAAATTTTTTACAAAATCTTTCTCCATCTAAATCCTGATATGTAATTATTATGAGACTATATCTATCGCTTTTGAGACCAGTCAAATAATTTAAAAAAATGAAATTTCAAATCCTTTGGAATTTTATATGCAAAAAGCGATACATTAATGCCCCGTTAATATTGAAATCAACAGATCCATTATAAATTTTGATTTCTGTCGTTCTACGAGCGCAACCCAAATCAAAACAAAACAAAACCGAAGCGATAAATCACTAATTCAGTTAACGAAACAAGGTTTTTACGATTTGTTTTTCATTCTGTAAAACTGAATTCAAAATGAATTCGAAATGATTCTCCACCTCACAAGGTTTTGCTGTATTTAATTTACCGACTTAGAATATTGATCTTTGGTTTGGTTTATCTTCGAAAGGACATGAAGCAAAGTCAATATTAAACAAGTCCACATTACTTAATATTAACGGGACTTTGTTGTAGTTTTCAGATAAGTAATTCAATTTTTCAATAATCTAGATGGATAAAATTGAGTGTCTAAAATTCTCCTTTTGATCTGTTATACGAACATTTCACATTACTTTTTTTACTTGTTTGCTCTTAAATTAAAGTACAACTGTTTTTTGCAATAGACAAAAAGGTATTTCATCTCACAAGACAAGCTTGAGATCTAGTCCTGCTGGTCACAGATTTCAATGACATTTGGTGTAATGATAGTTCTATATGTAAAACGTATCTAAACGTATCTGTTATTTTAGTCTGAAATAGTAGACCAATTGAGAAAAATGCATTTAATGTTTGAAAAAATCGTATATTTCCTACTCTCCAGGTCTTGGAGTAGGTCATACATTAACGATTGTAGTCCAGCGGCAAACCTAAAAGAGTTCGAGTTGCTTATCTCAGGTTCTCATTTAGTTGGAAGAACTTTTTCCAGTATAATTACCTTAAATATTACAATTACGAAAGAGTGAATTATTTTGTTTTTCTTGTTATAAGAATCATTTCTTATTTATTATTAATAAAACAATTTATTGAAAAGAATAGTATACAGGGTGATGAAAAAAGATATAGTAGATAGTACATATAATATAGTAGAGGGAAGTATAAAATATGTAATCAATATATGTTCTAAAAGCAATCCTCTCGGTGTAAAGTCAATTTTTATTATCTATTAGCGTTCCATATCATATTTTGCTTCTTATACAGAGAAATTAGGATAGTTCAAGGTTGTATATATAAGATTGTTATTAATATCAGCCAAGATTACTTCATAAACATAAACATGGTACAAATCCTCTGTCTTCATCCAGTTTGGTAAACGTTATTTTCGTGTTGTTAACAATGACCATTCATTATGTTGCATATAGTCATGTTAATGAAAACATGTATGCAGCCCGTTACTTGCACACAGAAAAACATCCCAATAACTATATCCCTCTCGTAAATTGATTAAAAAGCTTCACCGACATTTATGTACATTTATGGTAGAGAAAAACGTGTTTTGAGGATGGGAAGAGAACCCAGAAACAAGTTCCCGAAGGATTTCAGTGGCTGCAGATATCAACGGATATCATATCAACATTGCGTTGATTCATCGAACTCTTTAACAACAATTACTTTATCCATGTAATAAAATTGATCTAACAAAAAGGATTGCGGTTTACAATCCTCTATGCTATACTATAAATAAGTATTATAAGCCCTTTAGGTATAGGACCCTTTTTTTATCATCTTGTATACTATTCTTTTTAATAAACTGTTTTAATAGCAAATAAAAAATAATACTTGTAACGAAAAACACATAAAATAATTCCCTCCTCCATAAATGTAATTTAAATTGTTATTTAAATTGTCATTTAAAGTAAGTGTCCTAGAACCTATACGTTTATTTCACATATAGAATTATCACTCAAATCATCGAAATGAGTCAAGAGATAAGAATCAAGTCTGAAGCTTGTCTTATTAGTCATCAATACTTAAATTTGTTTTATCATTTTTCCAGAACTTGTTACATTATATACTCTGCTTTATCGCTATTTCAAATGTGATGTCAAAAGTACTGATCTTTCTGACTGTCGTTCCTTTTGAAAAATTTCTTAGTATATAATGCACTTTAAAAAAAGTCATTATTTATAAAAGTTAGCTTGAACTTCTATAACCATTATAATTTTAGCGATCTCAACAAAGATAATAATGAAATATAATAATAAATCCCTCCCACGACGTTACATCTATATTAGAAAAAGAAATAAAGGTTTTAAGGTTTATATTTGAAATTCATATTTTTACGAAAATATGTATGTAATATATTTCTGAATAGTATGGAGAAGTTTATTTTATACAGCTAAATCTTTAAATACAGTTCAATATGATCACAGAAACTATATTATACATATGTACAATCAGCAGTTATCCAGTTAAAATATCTCTAGATCGCTAGATTTGCAAATAGAACAACAGTCAAGTGAATGAACGGTAGTAATATAAAGTTTGAATTAGTACCAGGACAACGAATATTATATTTTGCATATAAAACTTCAAGAAGTTTTGACATGGTTTATCCTATCATACATATATACATATATTAATTCTGATATTAATGATGAACTTGTGTAAAATGTATAAAAAGATGAGTGATTATGATCACGAGCTAAATTTTTGTTAAGCTCTTGACATATTCTGTGACTAATGCAACACCACTATGCTTTATTGAAGCGATACAAAAGTAATGGGACTTGAAAGTTTGAAAAAAGGGTGTGATATATATGAGATACAATACGATACGATAAATACCATTTTTCAAAGATTGGATATCGTAAGAAAGATTGCACATAGCAAATACATACATACATTCACAATGTAGATGTGTACAATGTATTGTACATATCATTATTTTAAATAAATATTAATGTCTCGACAATGAAAAAGAAAATTAATTCAATTGTATAAAAGAAAACTGAATGGAAAATTTCGATTAACCGGGAAATATATTAATCTTTATTCTGTTGCAAGTTAAGAATAGTTTTATATGAGTAAATTTCAAAGAAAATTAAATGTGGTATGTTCAGCAATGAATACTGAGTGTTACTCTTTTACTTTAGGTGTGTAGAATGAATATGAAGATAATAACAATCCCATTACTTTTACATCTATACGACACACGTATTAGTAACACATTAAATGATATGATTCTATCAGAAAGAAATTACTTCGTTAAATCATGTTGTACGACAATAATAGCATGCACGCATGCACACACACAACATGCAAGCACACACCTCTGAGTCTTGTTACAGATAACACCTTAAAGAATATTTATAAAAAATGTTGAAATGAATCTTGAGAATATCCTAACATCATGATTTCATTTCATAATTCGACATAATATTGAAGAATGTAAGGTATGATGTCATGGTAAGGATGGAGAATAATGCAAAATAAAACGTACTCAAAAACACGCGTACCTTGCTCAAATCTAAAGGATTATCACTCAAGTGTACTACAGCACCAGGATGGGTCTTTCTAGATCTGGAAAATATATATACATATATTATATACGTGTGTGTGTATGCGCACGTAAGCGCGCGCGTGCATGTGTAGTTGTATATACGTGTTGTTATATTTATTTGTACAGTATTCGTATACGTAATCTATATATCTATATCTTTGTATTATATTCATATACTTTAGCATATGTATATCAGTTTTTAAAAACGTTCGAATATCAATTTTATTATAATTCAACATTTTTCCTCAACTTTACCTAGATCCTTTTAAAATTACTAATATACTTCGATATTTGTACAAGTTAGTACGATATACCTATTGTGATCTACGAAAATAATAAGCTCGAAAAGATAAAGAAATTTAAATGAGAAATTAAAACAGATGCACCAAATACGATGAAAGCTGTGCTCGTGTGTAATGCGTAACATATACATAATAAATGTCATCTTATAAAATCCTAAAATAATAGTTTGGAAACTGAAGCAGACGAATTAAAATATCCTATAACTATAATAGTGTTGCATTTATCGAGAAAAATTTAAAAATAAAATCATAAGCGGAAAGAATTGATAAGACATAAAAACACTAACACGTCATAAATTATAGGTAATGAATAAATATAGAAAGTTTAAATTTAAGAATAACAGATCCGATTTTACTTTCAATATTATCATTACTATATTACACTATAAGTGTATTTCCTTATATTCTTAGACTGCAAATCTTGTCTATCTAGATATTCATATTATTCCTGTTATAAAAAAATTATTTTATTACAAATATCAATGCGTCGTATATATAGCTTAGGAAGAAACTTTTCTAAAATATTTTACTGTTCATTGCAACAATTTTCAATTAATCAATCTACAATTAAATGTCATATAATTGTATTCATTTGTTCAAAAACTTTATGTATCTTATAAATAATAAATTTCAAAATGAATAAATAATATTACATGTATTACATGTGTGTGGATTATATTTATATACCTTTTTTTTATATATGTGTATTTTATTTTCATTAGCAATCAGAATATAATGTATTCTATAGGCAAATATGGTGTCTTAGAGAGCTGCTATTCTTAAATCTCAGTTATTTTTAATAACATATTTTAAAAATTCATTCTTCTATTTAATGATTTAACAAGAATATTCATTACTGACATTTTGTTTTCTTTCAACCTTAAGAACTTGCATCTTCTAATTTGCTATATATTTTAGTATTTTTTACGTTCAACCATTCTGAATTTACATACCGATGAATAGTAACAATTATCACTATGAGCTAAGCTATAAGCTATACGTTTATATCTATTAGAATTAAAATTATAAGCTATATAATATATTAGAGCAGCAATTCTTAATCTCTTGTTTAACAATCTTTCGTTGAATCACCCTCAAATAATTCTTTGTTATTGCAGGTCCCCAAGACATAGTTCAAAATTTTAATTTGTAATATGTCTCAAATATGTATATTTAAAATACTCATTAATTGCTCATCATGAATAACTTACAAATTTGGCGAGAAGAGATTTAGTATAGATAAATAAATATGCATATTCCACAGATTAAGAACCGCTATATTAGAGCTATAATTAGAAGCTATGATAAAGCATTGTACATGTCTTTTTTCTTTAAAGAATATGATATTTACGATTAAAGTAAATAAATAAATACTCCATAAGAGTAATAAAGATGAATTAAATCGTAAACTAATTTCTTAAACTCCGCAAAATTGGCTGATTTGATTAAATTCTCGTACAAAAACATTTTACTTTCTAACTTTACTTCCTAGTGTAAAGATACCTTTGTAATAACTTAAAGCAGACAGTTCAAAGATCGATCGATTTTAACAATAATTCCATGATCTTTTAATTTGATCGTTTAATGTACTAACATCAATGATTATATCTACGTCGCACCACTTCCTTTTGTGTAAAATTTCTTTTGTCCTGTTTTACAATTTGATAATAAAGAAACAATTGATAATGTAAGACTCTGCTACTAGTAAGACTCTTCGTAAATATACTATACGACACACTGATACTTTAGTTGCACAAGATTTACAGTTAAATTCACATATGTATCGTATGCAATATGTTATATTTGATCTTGAAATCTGATTTTTACGAATGACATTATTTCCCATCCTTCTTGGATAATGAAGAGCCCTCTGAAAAATTTTACATAATCATTACTTATATTATATCGATCATTTTCTAAGTATATATTTCTAACAATTTGAATTTGTACACTCATGTTATTTTTCTATTTATATATGAACCCTCTCGTCTTTAAGTAAAATTTCAATGACCAAAAATTTTAAGATCGATCTTGTGTATATTATTATTCTTCATATTAATGTTCCCTTCATACATTCACACATTATACATATGCACACATTCTAGTATGACGTACTTATGATTGCAGATCAAATTCCTTAATTCTAATTTCACTCATCTTTTTCGAAATTGCTCCAATTGGCATAAAGCCGCAACAGTTAAATTAACGCGCGTTATAAAATTTATTAATGTTAAAATATAGTTACCTTTCAAGAAATTATATTAATACACTGCATATTATGCGCTTATATATGAACTTCAATAATCTAAGAAAATTGTGTTTTGTTTCAAGTTAAATAATTAAATTTTCATCAGTTATTTAAAGTGTCTACTCAATATTAAGTGTTTTTCTTAATTTTTCCGAAATTATTTATTTTTTATCGTATTATACCTACTTATATTCTTTCCAATATTCCAACAATAACGTAAGCTAAACGTAGATATTTATACGAAATGTAAAATAACACTTCTGTTTTACGTTGAAGTAATCAACACATTAACAAATTATTATATACGTTTTCAAATAATTTTTCCATTCAATCATTTATACAATATATGTAATTGTTACAATTCAAAACTGCATATGAATAATTTTATGTACTTCATTTACGAGATATATATTTAATATTCGTATCATAAGTTGTCCGTTTAATATACAAGGTGGTCCATTTATTTATGTAAGGTCAGCTAAATATCTCTTTGAATTATGGTGATGCAAAAAATATTTTTTACGTAACGTGAATGGTACCAAAGGACTAATATTCGATAATATTATTAGAATATTATTAGAATATTAATAGATAAGAATATTTTTGTCCAGGGACATTTTTTCAGAGTTTTTATGATCTTCGACGTTTTTATTTGCATATAACTATATACATGTTTTATTGCATCATGTAACTTTTTGAAAAATACCTTAAAAAATGTAAATAATATAACCCTGAAATGATCTGGATCTCCAGAAATTTTACGTAGAACTGTAATTTCTGGATAACAAGCTTTAGCCAAGACGCGACAATCGAAAGGCTATACATGTAGATGAATTTGTTTAGTATCGCAATACTGATGATCCCTGACGGTTTGAAGTACTGGTCATTTTTATTCCATCATTGTGTCAACGTACAATTCACAATAAATTACTCGATGATATGATATTCATTTGTGGTGGAAGTAATCAGTGTTTAAGGGAAGCAATTTGAGCAAATTCGAGCAAAAACAATTTCCTGATCGTAATTCTCCATCGCATTATACATATGCAGAGGTGGTCAACAATTTTCATAAAATTGGTATTCCCGTGAAAAAACATGCGAGAACCAAAACTATTAGAAGCGACAGAAATGAAAGAATTATTGTAGATACAGTTAACGAAAATCCACATGTGAGTCTAAGAAGACAATTTCAGCGTGAAAGTGGTATTTCCAAAACGGGCATAATATGGACGCTTCAAGAAGAAAGATTTCACCCGTATCATCTATCTTTACACTTTACAGGTTCTTCATGGAACAAATTTCGTAAATAGTATGCATTTTTCTCAGTGAAGTTTACAGCAATATGAAAATTACCAATCATTTTTTAAAAGCGTAGATATTACTGTCTGACAAAGCATCTTTCGCCAACCATTATCAGTTGAATCTGACAAACATGCATTACTGGTAAATCAATGGATAAAGAAAAACTGTGGAGTGCAAATGTTTGGGCGGCATATTGAATAACCAAATAATTAGTCCTTATTTCATATATGATGTGCTATTAGATATCTGTCTAAGAATGTGATACTAGCATGATGATTGTCCGGCTTATTCTACTCTGCCATGCCAAACAAATTTTAAATTCAAAATGTCCAAATCGATGGATTGGTCGTAATGGAATTGTAGCATGATTATCGTGTTCGCCAGATCTTACACCTAGGTATGAGGGGCAGGGGGTTAAAACAAACAGTTTATAAAGATCAACCAACTACACAAGAGGATACGATGAACCGATTAGTTACAACTTGTACTGCTATTAATTCTGAAACAACCGGAAGGTCATTATAATTGGTTATTGCTCGTTTCAAAGGATGTATGATCGTACAAGAACACTATTTTGAATATTTACGAAGATGATTACGTAAAGGAAAGTGTATGCTGTTTTGCACATTTTATGATCAAGTCTTCTAGATATTCTTAACGCGATAAAAAATATTTGCTTCACATTCTCAAGTTCAGGCATCTTGGCCAAAGTCTGCGATCTCGATAGACATAAATGATATGTAAAACTTCAATTTTTGGAAATCGGTCATTTCAAGATCATGTTATTATACATACCTGAACGTATTTTTTTTACCAACCACACGATGCAATAAATCAAAATATATATATAGTTGTATACATAAAAAATATCAATGACCTTGGAAGCTCTGAGGAATAACCTTGGGAAAAAATATTCTTGCTAGATATCGGTCCTTCGATACCATTCACGTTATGTAAAAAATATTTTTTGCATCATCACAATTCGAAGAGATGTTTAGGTAACTTTACTTAAATAATTTAATAAATTTAATAAAATAATTTAATAAAAAGACAAATTCTATCATAACCGCTTTTAGTGGGAAATCAAACTGTTCACTTCTAAATCGGAAAATAATCCAACTATCGGAATAAGTAAGAAAATATGTATAGGACTAAAGAAAAATAAAGACAGTTTGAAATAAGACGTACATAATTGCAAGTATATGTCGCTGCCGCTGTTTATTCTACACATGTACGTATGATACTGTTCATAGTTAGGTTATTAATCATATTTAGCTTAAACTACTTAGACAAACATTTGCGTACTTACACTTCGATAGCCTTGTTCCAATTAATTACATATCCAGAAAGAACAAACGTCTCGATATGAAGCACATGAATATTCCCCCGTTCCGTACCGACATATAACCATTTACTTTGTAGCGGTAAGTGGATGCATGTTATTCTGTTTGAAATAGAACGAATTATTCGTCATTATCTAGAAAAATCTTTCAAATATGAAAAAGATTTAAATATGTAACACGAAAGAATATATGAAATTTATTGTCTAATGATTAGTTGAAATAAGAATCTATTTGTTTTTTAAAGTAACGAGTTGCCAGTCATTTAAAAATAATACTCAGTAATAATTACTTCTATCATTTATATTTTATTTTTTCTCGTGTATTTTATATAACAACTGAAAACGGAATAAAAGGCAAAACTAATATCGTTGGTGAACTACTAACGTATGCAACAAGAAATACATCTATACTATGAAATGAAAATCAAAAATATAAATGAAAAGACTGACCTTTCTCTTTGAAATTTGAGACTCTGCACAACCTGTGGTATTTTCTGTCGGAAATTCCATAGATGCAAAGTGTCATCTGCGGTAGCGGAAACCAATGCTCCCTCGTTGATTAAAAACTGTAATTGTACCACTGCTGTACATCCTTCGTGTCTTACATGTGCATCTACACCTGGTCGACCCAAACTATTTTATCATGTTTTAGTTAAGGAAAATCAAAAATATCCATTTTACAAGCCTTGTTAGAGTCTATTTTGTCACAGTTTAATAAATTGTAAATGAACAATATTTTGTATTTATCTTATAAATTATGATTAGTAGATACATTTAATAATAAAACTCAATAAAACTCAAGACTAATTAGCATAGCATATTTTTTAAAAACAGTTGGGATAATTAATATAAACATAAATCTGAAACACATCTGGCAAATTTCATCGTTTCACATTGAATATTTGGTAAATTATTAACATTTAATATAATATATATAAAATAGTATGAAGAACGTATAAAGGCGATGACAATGTATACAATGCACAAATACAAATAGTACAAATGTAGGAGATAAAGACTCGTGGGACTAGGGAAGAACACGTTTCCCCTTCAACCTACTAATTAGGGAAAATGAACTAACTCGTCACTCGGGTTTGCCAATCTCTTGAACATGATAATTTTCGTATTTTGAAATCCCCTGCCTTTCTGTGTGCCGCTCTATTTCTATAAAAAGTAAATTACATCATACTTACATTTGCAGGAACTAAGACTGATTAAATAATCATTAATTTGTCGTTATTAATTACAATTCCGTAATTGTACAAACTTCTACAAGATAACTCAATTAATAAGTTAATTAACAGAAATAAACGAAATATATTGTAAATAAATCAAGTTATTCTCTGTATCTCTACATCATATCACTTCTAGCACACCATGCAATCATTGATTTTCTGCATTCTTCATACATGCACAATCGATTCTTTGTAGAAAGCGTTCAAAGATTTTATTGAGCAATAAAGCGCACCGTCAGATGAAAGTAGTTACTTTGTAGCAACTGCCTGTCTCGATAGCAACTAGGAAGCTTATCGAGCTGTGATGAGCATTCACTACATGGTAAATCTTTAGTCAGAATAGACCAATAAAAGCACCCACGTGAAAGAACACATGGTTGACGAACCATAAACCAACTGTACGGAGTAATTAATCCAATCAAATTGGATAACTTCACTCGATATGATTCTTTAACAATCTTATAGACATCTTAATAAATCACTAGAAACGTAAATGTAAGAGTTAATCAAACGACAAGATAATTTTCACAGAAAGAGATTCAAATGTCTCTTAATCATTTTGCCGTATGGATATCCCTTTTGCTATTTTCAAAATATGCTTTTTTATATGTATGCTTTTTATATGTACTTTATAATACAATTTAAATAATGTTAAGAAACGCGCTATTTTTTTAAATATGTAAATATTTAACTTGCTGTTTACATTATAAAACACAATAAATGACATTTATCTTGAAGAAAGTTTTAAATAATATATTTAGTACATTTACTAAACAAGAATACCATAATGCAATAAAAGTATATAGTTGTGTGAAAAGAAATTTTATAAGAACATAAAAACGAGTTATTTTTATTCTAAAATTCAAAAGTTACTCTTTGCATTTTATAACAGATACCATTTGACCATGTATATTGTATATCATAAGATAGAAAATTTTAATTTAGCATTTGTCACTGATAGTATACGTTTCCTTTTTTAAACTCTTCCAAAGTTATTTTCAGAATAATTTATCGTAATCTTTATAATTATCTATTATTAATATGGTCTGTTTTATAATTAATCTTCTATTTGGTCTTGTTAGGAATTTAATCATATAGAAAGCTATACCTGATCGGGTCGTATACATTTTGTTATTACACTAGTGGATACTCCTTTCTTCTTTTCCTTTTACCTAGTTAAATTGATCATATTAAAACATTATGAAAGGATACATCCTAAGAGATCCAGATTTAGTGCCAATAGCAAGAAGTCTTTGAACTGGATCGAATGCCACTGCTGTCGGCTGATGTGGAAAGCCATGTCTGAATGTCTGAAATATAAAAGCATTTGTTTCAATTCATGTTTCCTGCTTTAGTCAACTGAAAGTCTATTCAACCCCACCAAGGGCTGCAGAACGATATAAGATAAAAGATAGCATTGTTTCTCTAGTCTCCAATGTATATATTTAACTTAGACTATACAAATATTCATACTATAATTTCAATACTGTTAATTCTGCATTTCATTTGTTTTTCATATCGACTATGTACTTTCAACGAATCTAACATTTAGTTTAAACCATTAGGACGTCTATATGATCAGTTACAAAAAAATTCGAACACTGTACAATTTTAAATTTCTCAGCTATACATTTTCAATAAATGTACAAGGATTAATAAAAATATATTACATTATGTTACATTACATTATATAGATAACAGTGAAAAACTTATGAGTTATTATTTATTGTCATTCAAATATTAAAAGAAATACTAAAAAAGAGCGAACTTTATGTCACAAAAATTTCAGACACAAGATATACTGCCAGTGTTTATATTCAAGGTTTGTAAACAATGCTTCGTTCAACTCTGAACACGTGTGAACTTTGTTACCAATTTGTTCAGAATGAGCCGCAATAGCCGATATACGATAATTTTTGAAGTACGATAATTAGTAATATTTCACTACGAAAAAAAAATCAATTTATGAAAGAGCGAGTATGGTAAAGAATGATTTAAAAAACATTTGGAAGAAGAATAGAAACAAATCAGTAATGATTATTTAAAAAATACCTTATTTCCAGTATATTAAAACGTTTGCATCATGTCAATGGTGTCATCATAACAAATATTCGTGAATAATCATTATTAATTTTATGTGTTTAATTGTTCAGTTCTATGTATATAATTAACATTAGTATCCGAAACTTCTTGACATAAGATATTAAGATTCATTTTTCTTCACTGTTTCTTTTAATATTTAGACAACAATAAGTAATAATTCAAAAGCGCTTTTCTACTCTTATCTATATAGAATAGTGTAATATAATGTTGTACATTTTTGTTGTTCCTTGTATATTTATTAAAAATATAGAGCTTAAAAATTAAAATTGTACAATGTCTGAGTTTTTTGTAATCCTTTTGTAACCGTAGTATTTCAAATTAATATTCTATAATTATAGATATAAGTTATAATATTTCAATTTTGATATAGTGTTTCTTTATATATGTACGTACAGTGTAATATTACTATGACAGAGTTATACCTAGTATGTGTGTAGCTGTGTGAATACAAAAGAGTACTTGTAGAGAGTTTTGGGAAGGCATACAAAAGGTTTTGCAAAAAGAGAGTCTGATATTTTGTATAAATTTATACATTTCTTGAAAGTAATAAAACATAGCTAATCATCATAGATCCACATACTTCTTTAGATATATACTCCTTCGGTGTTTCATATTCGTATTAAATAACATTTTATTTGTAAGTTTACCACAATATGCATCACTCACGATGTATAATATGCATCACAGACAAAACTCTTTGAGTATCCATAGTCCACAGTAAAAAATTCAAAAGAATCAAATCTGGTAATCGAAATCGTCATTCTGTTGAACCTCTTCCTACCATCTATATATTATCAATTATCTGATTTAAATATTGTCAGATTGACATGTGTGTCGAATCTGAAATTTGATGTAATATCGAAAGGATTAATTTTAGAACCGATGTTGATTAGATATTTTTAATTCCCCTCGATGAATACCTACGATAAGCTTTCAAAGTCTTCTTTTATAACATTCTGTACGAAGATTTAGACTGATAGGTACGAGATTATGTTGTGTTAGCGAATCACGATTTCCGGTCCAAGAAGTGAATAACGAAGGAAGTTGTTTTCCTAACTTTATCACTGATTCAGAGTACATACTAGTTATGCAATACCATGATACATGTATGATATGTATATATGTTTCTACATTCTGCCTCTCTTACATCGTATACCTTATATCTATCTCTATATCTATATCTCTAAATATATTTATTTATATATATTAATTTTTTATTTATTTATGTAGTATATTTACAATAAGAAATTCGATCGATTCACCAAGAAAAAAAAATTCGTTTTTCTTCTTTTTAAATACAAAGACAGCCTAGGAATATCCTTCAGAACATACTCATTAGAATCAAATCAACTTCCCACAGACAGCTTTAATTTCTTTACAAAATGTTGTTCGTTAGTATTGGAATTGCTTCTTTCAGATGTTTCTGTCCTGTATACATTCGCCAATAGATTATCGATTATTGTTTTTATAATCATATACACATATTTTCGTGATTATTGTACTGCATTATTCTCGCAATTATACTGAGGAATGTATACATAATAACATTAAGAACCTCATGGAAAAACACATTCTTAGGAAATATGTAATAGAAATCTGTGACTAAATTGTATTTCATTTTCCTAATACACTTTAAAACATAATTTCCTTTAATCCATTTTGAAAAAAGGTATCTTTATAATATTTCAAATTTTCTCTGTAAAATGTCAAAAATACAAAAGAAATAAATACCGAGATTTAACGCTGAAGGTAGAAAATAAGAACTGTAGACAGTTTAATTGCCCGAAATTATCAACAGATATTGTCGTAGCTATGTAAATATAATTATCGATATCTGTAAATATAATTACAATTTTTAATATCTAATAATTGACGAGCAATGACGTATGCGGCTAATGGACAGAAGTGGCGATTAGATTGAAATTTGAAACTCTCTTAAACTTAAGAACCTATCGAACAGCGAATCGTAAGTACAGGGTGAACTAAAACTAAGAATAGGATTTAAAACATAAATAATTGTCTTATTTTATAACATGTTTGTACGATATTGCTAAATATTTAAAGCTTATAATAGTATGGAGTTTATGTATGAGAGTTAATAATATTTTTTATATACCCTCTGTTTACTGTCTAACAATGTCAGATTCTTTCGATAGCATGTTTCATAACAATGTTTAATGTTTGAGTATTATATAATGTTCTAATATTCCAGTTTCTGCAAGAATGTTTTCCTTGAGCTCTTCAAGTGTACATGGTCTATTCACATGTACCTATTCCTTTAGATAGTAAATTTCCCACAGAAAGTAATGGAAAGCCGAAAGATCGGGCGAACGTGGCGGCCGATAATGGACTTATCACTTTGATACTAAAAGTCTACTATTTTTATGCGTTGCTTCTCAGTGTAACTCATCATGATAAATCTCCTAAATCTCAGTTGTAACATATACGAACCTGTAACATGAAATCAAAAGAAGAATGAAGTTATTCTTTTCTCAAATCCTACTCTGAACTTTGGCCTACCCTGTAGAATAAGTAAGTACAAACTGGTACCAATACAACGCAACCCTTGTCCGTCACGACGCGACGATGTTCCCCGTCAAATTAATGAAAAGCAATTGATTATTGAAATGATAGTTAATGAGTTAATCGGATTAAAGATAATCACGAACTTAATATCATCGAATTGACATCAGACAGTCGAACCAAAGAATTCGTATTTGATAAAAACTATTTGAATATTGAATTACTAAGTTTGTAATTTCGATTTCTATTTATATTTTTTAGATAAGCGCAGCAAGAACAAATTTTGATATAGTAAATTCCCAGGGCAGAGGGTGAAGAGTAATGATTGGTTGGTCTAGTTCTAAAGGAACCCCCTACAAAAATAGCGAAGATAAAACGACTCAGTGTACAAGTGTGCATTTGCGATGAGCACTAAAAATGAGAACAAGTCTTTGAATTTCGGATAGCCTGGCTGTAATTAGAGTGCACGATGCTCTATTGTACAGAAAATTAAGATAAAGACTTCGCAGAATGTTTGGATGGCCGCAGGATAAGATGTTTCAAATTAAATGCTTGCCATCCGTGTTATCAGTAGCTTAATTTGTTGCTACGTCTGAATATTATCAAAAATTGTTTAGAAGATATAAGTTCATTATAAAAAAGATTTTGACTGTCCGAAAGAAGTATAGATTCTAATTATGAAAGTCTTTGAATAGAAAAATGTAATTGATGCTGATTTAATTACGGTCTAGTAAATTTTGTATAATATATGAAAATTTCAACTTAAATCTTATTTTATGTTTATTATCTAACAAATTGGATAAAGCGAAATAGACTAGTATATAAAAATCTTGAAATTTATTCACTTAAATCCCATATCTTTTTAAGCATTCCGTGCTTTCAGTTCAAATTTGTTACATCAGATATACGTACATATAAAGCCGTAAAATAAAGTTGAATAATTCAATTATTTTTATTAAAATATTTTGTATAAATGGCATGAAACATTGTAAACATACCGATATAAATAATAGATATTTTCATCGCAGAAATATGAAATTATCTACAATTGTATGTAGAAATGTATAACTTCGTATAATTTCAACTTTATTTTTAATAAATTTTCAATGCTTTCTATACAATTGTTAAAATACCTACTATTGGCTTAATACAAAACTCAAACAATATATAAGAGTTTATGGATGTTACTTTGTAATTGATTCCTTTAAAAAATGAAATAAAAGAACTATCCGTTATACGGATAAGAAACAAATTTGGGACAAAGTAGAGTTAGGATTAATCTGACGCCCTAAAAGACAGATATACGTTAAAATCGATTCTGATGCAGCACTACTGCCTTTCCACTGGTCATGAAAACTGCCCTCGTTCCATTTCAACGGAATGGAGAAGTAGGTTAAAATACAGCAATACGAAACTTATGAACACCCGCCATCCTTTATATCCGATTTTAACTTTCCGGAGGTGGTCTCTGGTCAATTTCCGACAGTTCGCGTGTTACGATCTTGCGAGCACATAGACATCGAACCTTAGCATCCAATGTACCCATATAAATTGGCATTCTATAGAATTATCAAGGCGTTATCAACCCAAAAGAAAAAAGATAAGTTTCGAAACTATGTTTCCTTGAAAATCGCACCTGCAAAATAATAGAAAGTTCAAAAATTAAGAAGAAATAAAAATAAAATTTTATTGGTATAATATATCAATATATGTAATATTGAATTAATATTGAACTAGCTAACATATAAACGCAGCATTGCTTCGAAAAACAAACTTACTAGATACTATTACAGCAATAGTAACGTATTGTTAACGATCAGTTCAGTTACATATTTAATTATTAGATGATTAATTATTAAATTTAGTAAAATCCATAATACAAGATTTGAAATTGGTTATCATTTTATATGTATACAATATGGCACGATAATTCATATTTGATGTAGGTAACTTAAATTTAGATGTAATAGGATTTGTTATTCTGAAAACTGTGCTCATTTTTTATGTATTTCTATCATATTTGAAGGGATGTAGGAAAATTGAGGACCATAGCAGGAATTGAACGCACAATATCTCACAGATATACTACAAATAATATAAACTATCCAGTCACCTGCCTTAAGGCCTAAATAATTTTTCCATAGTCCCTATTATGTTGAGACAAACTAAATGTCGTAACAATTATTTACATAATGTAATATCATATACTACTATTTTAAAGAGGAACAAGAAAGCAGATTATCGTATTAATCTAATACAATAGTTTCATCTGTCGATTGTTTTTTGTTATTATCTTATATTATTTATATTATATTAACGATCTTACTAAGAACATTTTCTGTAATCAGAGGTCATTAATTAAACATTTGAGAGTTATAAAGCAGGTAGACATTCAATTCGTGCAGCAAATTGTGTGCCTTACATTTTATATACTCCTGGATCATAAAAGTACTTCTAATGAATGAACCATTGATTTAAAGATCTATATGTATTCTTGTGTAAGAAACTTGTTGATATTTTTATCGACAAAAGTATATATACTGCACTCATTAAAATTTCCGGCAGATATTTGATACATAACAATGAAGTGTGATAATTCTATATAAAAATAACAGAACTTCAAACACGAAACGTGTTACACATAATATGTTACACATTCATCATACTTTTATTGATCTGCTTTTAAATGTAATATTACTTTTTAAGCACTTTGATATGCTAAGCAAAATGAGTCACGTTATTGAGAAGTTAAAAAAAGCAATATACTACTAAGACAATATATCTTATAAGTGTGTTTATTTACTGATAGAATAATACTGATTAAATTATAAGACATAAATTATAAACTTTCTTTGGTTAAATTATAAGACATTTAAATTACATATTTAAATAGCAAGCTGTAAGTATTTCATAAACTGTTCAATTTTCGATATTTTGATACTTTTGTAGGGCATTCATACAGAAATGCATAGAAATTAATTAAAAATTATGGTTTCTAAAGTCTTATGTTACTTTGAAACACACCATAATTTTGCATTTCACCATCGCATAAAGTTGCATTTTTGTAGTAATTTATACATTACTGTGAAGACTTGTATGAGATAATTTCTCAGTAAGGGACACAGTACAATATGCATTTCTTAACGACACGATATTCTTATATCAACATGAATTACAATAGTCATGACATACATATAAATTAAGATAAATTTTATTCATAAATGGCCATGAATTATTTTTCCAATTTTTCTGTTCCACCTTCCTCTTCCTAGAATAGCACCAATGAATAAAAACCTAATCTGCATAGAATTTCCATGGTTTATTAGAAATCAAGATAGCTTTCCCGATTGTGTTGCATGTATATACTCAACTCAATTTAAATGGTTCAAATTTTGCTGTAGTATTCTACGGAACCATGAAAAACAGGTAGAAATTAATTTTATAAAGCCTACCAATCATGATATGTACCTGTCCAAGGTTAAATATTTTCGTATTCCATAGGGACTCTATTTCAAAGTCTATTTGGAACATGCTTTTGTGTTTCATGTCACATATTTTGTCAAAAGGTATGTATTTTAAGATATAGCAAAGAAATACTTCTCTATTTTATAAGAAATGTATTTTATAATATGTAATACATACATACCTATAAGTAATACTTGTGAATTGCACCGAAATACTTCAATTTGTCATGGACGTTTCATGGACAAAGAATACGTTTGACGATGGTTGGTGTTTTTTCGCAGAGGAATGTATCGAGTCATTCATTACCAATCAAATTTAACAAAATATGGCTTCCAAGAGGTGTCGCTACTCCAAATATTTCGCTTTTTGTTAAACGGCATCCGCAGCCATTTCAGGGATATTCTAAAACTCTTATAATCTTATAATGCTCATTAATTCTACTAATTATAAGTGACTATAATTAGTCCTATCACGTTCTGCGGTCGCAATAACTCTGAAATTAATTTTTGGTTTTTCCTTGTTTTCAAACTAAAAAAAAATGTGCAATCGTAAAAAGTAAAATTTATTCTGTATAATTATATAAGTAAAAAAAACAGTTTACTTTTATGTTAAGTATCGTACGTTTGATAAATTACGATTGTGTGGTTTAGGAATTCTAAGTTGGTTGGTCGAAAAATTGAAGAGAATTTCAGAAAAGCTTCACCAGAAAATCTTAGAAAAATACAATAATGGACTAAATTCATACGATATTATTAACTGCAGATCCCGTTATAGCACAGTATAGGAAAAAATTATAATAAAGAAAGCAAGTAACGACATAAATATTGCAGCCCTTAATAAAATCAGAAGGTCTGAATTAGACCGAAAGATGAATTTCTTCATACTTTTGACAATGAATCGATTATAAGTTATTTATTCATATTCAATATTATATATGAAATACGAAATAATATATCAATATATGAAATTTCTTTTAATAAACTATTATATACACATTTCCTTCAGACTTGTTATCTATGGCACGACTCGTGTAACGATTACGCTTATATTTTATGTTTAATTATAAATCACTTAAAATATTTTGTTTAATTAACAAGAGCAAATTAATCTTTTTATAGAAGTATTATTATTATCCAAACTTGATTGCAAAGATATTAACCGATGAATGCAATAAAATTTCTCATCTAAAAGCTTCTCTAACTAGATTAATCCATATAAGATGATTCTATCATATCGTACAATGCAGAGAAACAAGCTGTATCACGTAATTGGCATTTCTTGACGGCTATTGCTTACTCATCTATTTAGATGTCACAGTGCCCGCAAGACTGCGCGCGAATATTTAGACTATCACTACGTGACTGCTCGCTATTCTGTGCAATTGTTATGTAATTGAAATACAAAATTGCTTTTACTTTTTTCACTCATTGTAACTCGGGTCAGAAAAAATATTATCAGTTCAAAAGTATAGTCAGTAAATAGCGAAGTAAGTGATAAAAAATCTTTTACAAAATTTCATAATAGATACTGCGCATAAATATGAACTATATATCATAAATATTTCAGAAATAACGTTGTTTATACATTGTTAATACAGGCGTAAATAACAAAGCATTCATTTTGAATAATAGATATTATC